TGGTTTACATAGTGAGTTTCAGGATAGCCAGGGCTACATAGTGATACTGTGTCTCAAACAACAACAACAACCAAACCCAAAACAAGCAGGTTACTGTCTCTGGTCCCAAGGACTAGATATTAAAAGTTTGCCTTTAATATCTACCTTGCTTGTTCATGGTGGGACATACTAAATTCTCTGTGAGATACTGGGAATTCAATGTAGGGCCTTGTAAATGTGAGGCAAGCTCTCTGACACCGAGCCATTTTCCCAGCCCTCACTCAGGAAGTCTGTGGAAGTCTTCCTCCTTTCTTATTGGTTCACAATCCCACAGAACTCTTCAAACTGTAGGTTCTACTACCCTGAGTTTCCTCCTGCCTGCTTGGGTCCTGGGTACTCTGACCAGAGGTATTAACATCGATATATAGGCACACACTAACGGGAAGGAGCTCCCTCTGAAAACCCACAATGACAGCTACCATGGTAACGTCAAATTTGATCTGATTACTTCTGAATCTCCTTGTAGATCAGGACAAAAACGAAGGCTGCTTGCCTTCATTTACAAAAGTAAATGCCAAGCTCAGCCTCTCAAATGGCTACTGTTTGTAATCATGGAGAGCTTTTCTCCACCTGGATATTTTAATGAAGGAAAAAATTAAGTAAAATAATTGAGATTATATGCTTAGTGGAAGTGAATATCAGGTTTGTCTACAATCATATTTGCTTTGATCGACCCTTTCTGGTTCTTCATTGTAAAATCCCTTCACACTAATTTCTTTAGTTTATATTACTGTTTCTTGTGGTGTCAACTGAATGGCTTCCATTTTCCCAGGATTTTTAAGGGGTCTTTATACAATCCTGAGTAAATGGTAACCATAGGAAAAGAAGCTAGTATAAAAGTTGGGCTGTGTTATTTTTCTTTCTTTTAATTTTTTTTCAGACAGAGTTTCTCTGGCTGTCCTGAAATTTGCTCTGTAGACCAGCCTGGGCTTAGATTCTGAATCAGCCTGCCTCTGCCTAGACAGCTGGGAATAAAGGGCTGTGTTTTCAAATGGCAAATTCATAGCTCACTATGAGTCTTCTGTAGGAGGTGTTTCCATGGGTGTCTTCCATAGGGGGCTAATGTAAGCTGGGTATTAAAACCTTTCAAGATATGCTTGTCTTTAAAGTAGAACAAAGGAAACTGGGTATTTCTGTCCTTTTGTCAGAAAAAGAAATCCTCTCTAAATACATTAATTTCTTTTTCTTTCTGTCTTTTTTGTCACAAAGATGCCTGGGTATTTCTGTCCTTTTGTCAGAAAAAGAAATCCTCTCCAAATACATTAATTTCTTTTTCTTTCTGTCTTTTTTTTTTTTTTTTTTTTTTTTTTGCTGGTTTATGAAACACTTTCAGTAAACCTTTCTGTGCTATTCCCTGTATTCCTGTCCCTGGTCCTGTGTCTTCTCAGCTGTGGCCTGGATCCCAGTGGAGACTGAAGGGGGGAGTACCATGTGCCTATAACCTGCACAGGGCCAGGCGACAGAGTCTTCTAAAACAATATGTAAGATGTTTTGTGGGTGAGTGTGGGGTGACTGCTCCAGAGGGCCTAGCAGAATCAAGAGTCTGAAGCAAACTTTGCCAGAAGAAGGAAGAAGGGATACAAGGAGGGGAGGGCAAGGGCAGGGAGAGAGGACAGAGGAAAGGATAGAGGAGAGGAGAGGGAGAAAAGGAGAGGAAAGGGGAGGGAAGAGAGAGGGAGAATGCATGCTGGGGCTACAGAGATGGTTCAGCTGTTACCAACCTTGCAGACAACCTTTTTCAGACAACCAGAGTGCAGGGTTCAGGCCTCTTTGGGCACCTGCAATTGTGCATATTCTTTTTTCTTACACACACAGACACACACACACACACACACACACACACACACACACACACACACACATATACTTAGAACCATGAGGGAGAAAAGGACACTTTAAGCTCAATGTTGAGTGCTTGTGTGACATGCACAAGGCCTTGGATCTCCAGCATTATAAAAAGAAAACAACTCAAAATCAAATGAACAATATTTACCTGTCTAGGTTTGAAAAATCATACATTTTTGTATATACTGTAATAAGCTTGAAATTATAAATCATGAACAATTTTAAAGCAGTTTCCTTTGTTCTACTTTAAAGACAAGCATATCTTGAAAGGTTTTAAACTTTTTACTTTTCTGAGTGGTTTGTTCTTGAGCATAAAGGATCTTACACATTAGAGTGAAGGCTATGAAACTGCTGTCTTATAAAGTAAAGGAGCGATAACCCAGTGGAGATCTTGGTTAGAATTAGCCAGTGGAACATAACGCCGAAGTCTAATTTAGTATCTTCTGGTTCAAATTATATTGCTACCACTCCAAATAAAGGCAGTTCTGTGCCTGGTTATTGGTGTGGGCTGTATCCGCCAGAGAAGACTGCGCAGACATAGATGTAACCCAGTGGGAAGTCTTTAGTAGCCAGCCAGGGACCAACTGCACTAATGCTAGGATCACAGTGTAGCCCGGCTTTCTCAGGGTGAGCTTTAAACACAAAAACCTTGTCCTGGGTTGACATACTTCAGTTAACAAGAACAGTTAGCTAGAAGCAGAACTACAGAAGCCAAAAAGCAAGGTTAGTACATTTAGAAATTTTCCCAGAACTATGGACTTTGATGGATTAGGTCTTTGTTTATATTTTGGTAGGTGGTGCTGTGTGCTGAGTTTTACAGCCTGAATGACACTTCTGCCATGGAGTCAGTTGTGCTAAGGTCTTGGGACCTGCTAAGGTCTGGAGTCTTGTTACAAGGACCTTCCTAAATATAAAGGCAAATACAGCTTGCCTGCCCTGGAAGGTTTCTTTTAAACTAATAAATTTGTCTAGGGTGGGGGCAAATGAAAACTACTGGAAACATTAAAACACTATATAACATTAGGGTTTCTCTGAAGTTCTTTTTCATAATTTCCCTTGTTCTGATTACTCTACTTCTGGGTTCAATTCAAAGGTTGTCATAATCATCAAATACCATCTTCAGAATTTGGTGCCTGTGAGTGGTTCAATCTAAGGGAAAGAAATAAGTAGAGACCCTGGTGCAGGTAAGGCCTGTATTTCTGTAGAGAACTTACAAACAGTAAGTCCCATGAAAAGTCAGTCAGCAGCAGCAGCAGCAGCAGCAGCAGCAGCAACTCCAGCAGGAAAGCTGTCGATGGGTGGAGGGGCTCCCCATTCTATGTGGTAAACTAGAGGCTCAAAACTGTAGACAATTACTGCAGAGGACTTCAGTCTTACTTTTGCAAAGTTTTGAGAATGTTAGGAAAATCAAGACAGCCTACAGCTTATTAGTTTTAAATGTAAAGTACGCATAGTAAATTTAAAAATTCCAAAGAAGCAGAGAGAATTGTAGATATGAATGGTCCTCTACCTGTATTTCCTGTGTGTACCACCCCCATGTAGTGTCTGAGAACCTGGGCTGAGCACAGAACTGCCCTCAGGAATGATCGGATCCCATTAGAATCAGCCATGTAAGGTCCCTGTTCTTAAAGAAGCACAGCCTTACTGCTGCACGTTTATAAACAAAGTGACAGTGAATGAAAATAAAGTCCATGTTACTGGAAATCATGATATATTTTTGCTGACTCTTTGAACTCTTGAGTTTATAAGGATATGAATGATTGAAGGACCCAAAATATTACATCAGAAGAGAAATTAGACTAAAGCAGCATGAAGTGTACTGTGAACACAGCTCAGTGGCAGATCATGTACCTCACATGTTCATAGCCATGAGCTGACCCCAGCATTCAGGAGGCAGAGCCAGGCAGATCTCTGTGAATGTGAGGCCAACCTGGTTCACAGAGCAAGTTCCAGGACAGCTATACTACACAGAGAAACCTTGTCTTGAAAAAACAAAAACAAAACAAAAACCACTTTATATATACAGAGAAACTCAGGCTGTGGAGATGGCTCAGTGGGTAAAATACTTGCTGTTTAAACATGAGGATATGAATTCAGATCCTTGACACCCACAAAAAAGCCAGGTGTGGGGGTGGGGGACAAAGAGACAGGTCTTTTGTCTTGCTTGGAGTCTTGCTGACTAGCCAGCCTAGGTTCAGTGAGAAACCCTTTCTCAAAAAAACAAAAAAATCCTGTGGAAAGTAATAAAGGAAAGTCACCGACTCCACAGGCACATGCATAGTGAATACGCACGAGCAAGCATGTACATATACACCGCCACCCCGGAACACGATGACAGAGTGTAACTCTTTGCACTGGGAGGGAGGTACCCTACATTTTGATCATAAGCATCCCAACCTAACTAGAATGAACTGTTTACATCTAGATTCCATTGTTTGGGACATTATAAATGTTTAGGTATATGAATGAAATTTATCAAAGCATATACAAGATACAAATTAAATGTTTAATAAAAACAGGGAAAACATCCTCATTACTTGATAATAATTTACATTTCTGTCATCTGATTAAATCATTGTAGTTTCACATAACTACAATATTTTGTTAGTGTAAAAAAAAGGTTTGGCAGAGTGCAGGGAATCTTATGAAAGAAGGGGGAGATAGAAAGCCCCGGAGAGGACAGGAGCTCCACAAGGAGAGCCACAGAACCAAACGAAATCTGGGCACAGGGGTCTTTTCTGAGACTGATACTCCAAACAAGGACCATGCATGGTGATAACCTAGAACCCCTGCACAGATGTAGTCCATGGCAGCTCTGTGTCTAACTGGGTTCCCTAGTAAGGGGAACAGGGACTGTCTCTTGACATGAACTCAGTGGCTGGCTCTTTGATCACCTCCCTCTATGGGGGAGCAGCCTTGCCAGGCCACAGAGGAGGACAATGCAGCCAGTCCTGATGAGACTTGATAGACTAGGGTCAGATGGAAGGGGAGGAGGACCCTCCCCTACCAGTGGACTGGGGGAGGGGCATGGGAGGAGAAGAGGGAGAGAGGGCAGGATTGGGAGGGACTGAGGGAGGGGCTGCAGCTAGGATACAAAGTGAATAAATTGTAATAAATAAAAAATAAATAAAAGTTTTATTTCAACAGGTAAAATAAATGTTTTAATTTCTTCGGCAAGAAGGATTCTAGTATGAAAACACATTCTTGTATGAATTACAATTAGGACCTTCATTAGTAAAAAGATAAATATATAATTTTTTGGAGACAGGGTCTCTCTATGTAGTCCTGTTGTCCTAGAGGTCACTATGTAGAGCAGCCTCTGCCTCCAGATGCTGTGATGAAAGGCGTGAGGCACCATACATAGCTTAACATATAACTGTTATTTTTGTGGAAGGCACTGGTGCTTTGCCATGAGACTTAGGATATAGTGTGTGTGTGTGTGTGTGTGTGTGTGTGTGTGTGTGTGCATGTGTGGGTGTGTGCAGACATAGACGTCATCGACATGCTTTAACAATAGACTTAGGAAGTATGGAGAGAACTCAGTGGGAGCTGAGTGAGCATCTGTGAGGTACTTTTACTGCTGGCTCTAAATAGTCCAAAAACCAGCTTTGGTTTACACATGAAAGTATAAAACAAAAGACAAAACAATACTGAGGACATTACAATGAGATGTTGCCAGGAGAAAATTGAGTAAGATTTCATGTACATATTTACACCCCAATGCCCTTGAGCCTGTGAAGCTGGAAAGCTGAGGTGGTCAGGTCTCAGCTTTCACCCTATCGGACAGATGCGCTACCCACGCACTCCACACAGCCACTCTGCTCACACGCTACTTCTTTCCTTAGAATGACGAAGGCCTGTGCTACTCTGTGATCATTTCCCTTTCCAGGGTGATGCAGGCATTAGTGTTATGGTATGATCAGTTTCCCTATTCCAGGAAGTTGCAGACATGTCTCACAATGCTGGCACTGTATGAGAGGTGATGCAGAAAGCATTGGCAGGATAAAGGTGAACATCTACATTGTATTGTATTATTAAACAAAGAATATAAAAATAACTATAAAAACGAAAGATAGCACGTTAGAGTTAAGGCTGGCACGCTGTCTTTGTGAATCCTAACTACTGTACTGTACCTCGGCCCACAGGCTCACTTCCGGCAAACATTTTCATCATACCAAAACACACACAGAAGGGAGGTAACTGGCACAATTGGGGTAGCAACATACTTACACTTTAACATTCAAATACTCAGGGTTATAATGCACTTCTACAATATGCCTTTATATTATAGAATAATATACATTTGAAGGGTCTTTTAGTCTTAATTTTGTTCTTCAAATTTATCTGAAAAATAAAGCAAATATTCCTGGAAAAGAACTTACGTACACCTATAGGTAGATATCATTCAATATATGAAGCATTCAAAAATGCATTTATGAAATATTAAACCCTAAAATACACTATAGTACACAAGGGTATCAACCTCCCTTTCCTGTATCCCAGGAAGGAGCTAGTGACCCTGAGTTTTAATTTTGTCAGTTAGAAGAAAGGATCTTTTCACATACTTACTAAATTAAGAGTTTTATTGTTCAACGCCTATGCTTTGAAGTCATTAGGCTTCCTCAGATACTTCAAGGGAACCAGCAGTCACTGATCGGACTCCAGCTCCAAGACTGGAGCGACGTAATGACAGCTCCACAGCAGAAATCTGGCGTAATTCTCTGCGACACAGTTTGACAGGCTTGACACCTAGCTGCCCCATATTCCTCAAGAGCTGAAACTGGGATGGTGGTAGACTCTGAGACTGTGTGAAGGGATGGGGCTCTGGGTTATCAGCATTGCTCAACAGCTGGCCACTGGAGGGTGCTACCGAGCCATAGACTGCAAGTGTGTCTGTGCCACCTTCCAGAGTCATCTGGGGCAGGGGCTGGGTTTTTAAGCTGCTTGAAGAATTGTCTACTTGTCTTTCTCCTCCATTGAACTTTGTATTTTCGGTTCTGGATGCCCACTTTAGTTCTTCAGGAAGTGCAGCCACCTCTTCTGGATCCAGAGCACCATCTCCAGCATCACAGTCTAGAGAGAAACCCACAAAAGACAAGACAAAGCAAACACTGTCTTCTCAAAACCAGGTATTTTTGCCACAATATGCTAACAAACTGCATCATTATCACTAAACAAGTAAGACAAGACACTTTCAGATTTCTGCTTTAATGATTTCTTCAGACAAATAGATGTGTGACTGTAACTCATTCGTGATTCACTTATTAACATCTTGCAATGAATAACAGATTTTTTTTACCTCATTTAAGCTGAAAATATCTAGTAATTTTGATATTCTCTAGAGATCTGAGTACTTGTGTGTCTCTGAAATCTTTTTAAAGAAGTAATTATTAACTTTTAAACTAACTTTTAAGTTTAAATAATTCAGTATTTTATTTTATAGTATGGGTGTTTGCCTGCATGTGTCTGTATATGTATGAAGCCTGTGGAGAGCAGAAGAGGGTGCTGTAGCCTTTGGGACTAGAGTTACAAATGACTTTGAGCCGCCATGTGGTTGCTGGGAACCAAACTAGGTGGGTTCTAAAAACCAAACTGCTTTTAACTGCTTAACCACCTTTCTAGCCTGAAGAGTTATTCATTTATATATATATGAGAGTCTTAGCAGCATTTATGGATGGACATCATGTGTGTGCAGTGCTGAAGAAAAGGGTGTCAGATTCCCTGAAGCTGGACTTACAGGCAGCTATGAGCCACCTGATGTGGGTGCTGGGAACTGAACCTGGGTCTTCTGCCAGCACAATATGAGCTCTTAACCAGTGAGCCATCTCTCCAGTGCCTCTGATAGCTCTCTTACATTTGTCCTTTGCTTGGCTCGTTACTGGTTAATTCCAAGTCCTGGCCAAGTGAAGGCAGCTTGGGACAACACTGGCTTTGCCCTTACTTCCAGGCACACATCATTACGTACACGTATGAACATCTGGTCTTGGTTGGCCCCTAGCGTGACAGCAATATTCTGTTACCTATCTGTACTCTGTGAGATGGGCCTCAGCTTCCACTGTCAGTGAATGGATAAGAGTGAATGAAGAGCTAAGACCTCAGAAGTCTTTAATTATAACAGATTGAAGAGCAAAAGCTTGCTTATGGGAAATCCCTACAGTTAATACTGATAAAGTAATTGCCAACCTTAGTGTGCCTTGCCAGCGCTTTGCATACTGTTTCCCGTGAAGACAGAATTTAAGTAGGCTGTACACTGGCAGCACTGAAGCCCACACAAGCTTTACTTCTCCCTCAACCTGGAGCTTGCCTTGAAAAGTGACCTACACTACAGCAGGACTGCTGCAAGTTGTGCGCTGTCACCCCACCAGGCCCCACACATAAATGCACACACAATAAATAATAATGGAAAGAGTCCAAGTGGACTCACTCACTTATGGCTGCTGAGAGTAAGAGGCCTGGCTGCCTTCTCCAGAAACTGACTGCAAGGCGAGTGTTAAGCTTGCCGGCGACTGACTGCACAGCAAACTTGAGGAGCCACTATTATGGTCACCTCTGTGTGTGCTTTAGCTCCATGTGAAGATCTGGATCGGTGGCTAGCTCATGTTTTCTGGTTTGCAGCCCCAGAGATCAAGCTCATAGCTTTGCAAAGTCAATTGTTTTAAACCCTGGATTATAAACTAGAATATGCTTGTAGAGATGTTGATTTTTTCTAGTCATAGAAATTATTTTTGAAAAACAGCTAGAAATGAATATTTTTTATATAACCTCTTTTATATAACTTGATTGCCTCCCTACTTTGAGGTCTTATTAAAAAATATATTGAACTTTTGACTTTTGCAGAGTACTTTGTCATGGTAATCATTCTGTTTTTTAAGGGGCTAATTTTACATACTTACATTTAATTAGGAAATATCTTTGAATTTGATCAAGATTTTTTTAATTTCTGGACGTCTGCCTTAGGACTGACCTTAGAAATACAGACGCTTTTACTTTCATTGTATCCTTCTTTGGACAGTGTTTAAAAATCTTGTATGTATGTGCATCTGTGTGAGGCCAGCGGTGTCAGACCTGGAGTCCCAGGTCCACAGCAAGAGCAGCCAGAGCTCCTAACCACTGAGCCATCTCCTTTGTACAATTGCTTTTAGCAATCAGAAGGCTTAATTCCTATAATATAGGCAAACAATAGATAGGGCCTTAAAAGACAGCAAAAGCCACTGGTACATAGCAGACAATTAATAAAAATCATTTCTTACAGTTTTATGTATGTTAATATAGCTTATATAGTTAATTTACATATTTTAATATTGGACAGTCAAGTATATTCCTCAACTGTTAATAAGTGTGTAACTACAACCATGACCAGTACTTGATGTGATAAACGCAGGGCCGATTCAGGAGTCCGAGCGGAGGGAAACCTCCGCAGCACACACTTGCTGAGCATGTGTGAGGTGCAACACTCAACTCCCAGTAAAGAGGGAAGAGGTTCAGTTTATTAACACACTGTGCAAGAATTAAGTCCAGCATTTATACCACCCCAAGATATTACTTGAAACAACTTTTATTTGGAGCTAATATATTCTTTTGGAATTATACTTCCGCCATATTGTACTTTCATTTTCAAATTTGGTTGCCCATAAGGAAAAAATGATTTTGTGGTGGCACATGCTTTTAATCCCAGCACTCTGGAGGCAGAGGCAGGTAGATCTCTGAGCCAGCCTGGTCTACAGAACGAGTTCTAGGCTAGCCAGGACTACACAGAAAATCCTGTCTCAAAAAACAAAGAGAAGAGAAAAGGGGAGGGGAGGAGAAGAGAAGAGAAGAGGAGAGGAGAGGAGAGGAGAGGAGAAGAGAAAGAGAAAGTGTAAAAGAGAGAAGAGAAAAGAGAGAAGAGAGAGAACCATAATCATTCTCTTCACACATACAGTGTTCATCTTCCCAACGCTTCCCATGAGGTTGTCTTATTACAGACTAAGTACATACTGTTTGTCTACAGAGACAAATAAAGTACCTCACCCTTGGGAAGTGCTACACTACAAATCAGGCAGGATGTTAGGGAGCAGGGTTAGCATGGCAAGTGACACTCAAAGCCTTACGCTCTGCTAATGTGAGCTGCCATGGTGATGCTCCTCGCGTGGGGTCTTTCAGTTTCTTCTTAAGATCTCTGCTGGTTTTCTTATAGAAGTAAAGATCTTTCTCTAGCTGCTGGATTTTATCTTCGTATTTTTTTAAGGTTTCTATAATGCCTTCTCCATCTTGTTCTACAAAGCAAAATTTTACATTTAACCTTGGCTTTAAAAGAAATGATTTAAAATTATACTTTAGCATAGCTCCAGATTCACTTTAAAGGGTCAGAAGTATGGTACACATATCTGTTACCTGAAGGGATTTTCTTCAACCATAGTATGGATTCCTTTGCCTATAAAACTTGTTTCATATAAAACTTGTTTTAAAGGATCAATCCCTTCATTTCCTGCTCTACCTGCTCTGCCAGCCACTTCCTGTTCACAACTCAGCATTTTCTGCCATTGCTGCTCAGAAGACTTATCAAGAACAGCAGAAATGGGCATTTCCTCTTAAACAAAACAAAACAAACAAAACAACAACAACAAAAACTCACGTATGTAGAACTCAGTCATGTGTGTTAATATAGTACATCATTTGCATTAAGACTGTGGATATATGGAAAGTCGTAAGTCTGGGTTTATAGACCCAAGATATACACAGCCCCCCCGCCCCCTGCAAAAGGCCTGTAAGCACTCTACTGACTGAGCTCCGAGTTCCTGTTGTATGATCCTAATCATCTCAAAACCACAAAAGCTCTACTCAGTGATCTTTTTGAGTCATTAGACTTAACTACAGAAAGACCAGGACAGTGGTGTGTGGGATCCTGGCTAGGGAAATCCTGTTCATTAGGCAAAGCAGTTGCTGATTAACTTTGTAACACTGATTTACTGTCAAATTGCTTTCCGATTTTCTGCTTCTTCAGGTTGCTTCTCTCAAACCCCTTTAGCTCATTTCAGCTATGTGTTCATGAGCGTCAGGGCTGAGCAGCCTGCACTGAAGCCAAAGCACCCAGCCAGCAATGACTGAGCTGTCACTGTACCCATTTGGGTACCAGCCATGTTCTCAGGTAGTGTGAGGAGTCTATCACGACAGCTCTCTTTCCACACCAGAATCTATTGTTGAGCTGATGCTGATCAGTAATAATATTATGTACTAATCAATTGTGACCTATGATCTAACCTTACTGCATAAAATTCTATAATTAACTGAAAATTATAACAAGAACTATAACTAGGAATTACAACAAAACCAATCACTTCATTGGTATATGAAAAAAAAAAAAAAACCAGAAGTTGTCTTACATTTCCACATAAAAGCCAGACAACCTCAAAGCAACAGGGTTTCAGGGGTTGTTGAGTGACTGGGAGCAGACAACAGGGACAGCACTTCAAATGTGAGTCCTCTCACATCAAAATATAGGAAGCATGGTAGTAGGCATGCATGCAAAGGTCAAGGTTGTCTGCAAACTGGACTGATGTACACACACTGGCTGCTTCCCTCCTCAGCACCACCCAACCCCATCACCTTCTATAACCACACCCGGGAGGCTACCTTTGAAATGCTGTAGCAACAACTGCATCTTCTGTTCGTGCTCCTTTTGCTGGAGGGTCAGTCTCCGGTCACATTGCAGTCGAAGATGCTCCAGTGCAGACTCTAATTCACGGACTACATTATCCCGTTCTAGAACCTTCATTTTCATCTCTTTATTCTGCAACTGTTGCTTGCGTTCAGCTTCTCGCAAATTAATCACCTGTCAAAGACATTTTTGACCTTTTAAGTGTACGTTATGTAGCCTAATAACAGATAAGCCCGGTTTTCTTGTACTACATGAAGATGTAGCTACTTAACCTCAATAATATCTTAAGTGCCCTTTAACGGGTGTTGGATGGATGCCACGACAAATGCTTTAAAAGATAAATATAAAATAGCCTAAGAACCTTTTGAATTTGTCAAAATTATGAATTAGTAATATTTTCATTTTTGGCATAATACTTCACGGATAGTCGTCTCTCTAAAACATCTCAGATAAGATTTTGTACTTCTGATTGTATGATTCTATTTTCTTCTGTAGACCTGGCAGGCCTTGAACTTACCTCCTAAGTGCTAGGAATGTATAAACAGGTGCCACCATGCCTGACTATAATTCTATAACTGTTTCTCTGGTCCACATGGATATTGAGGAATATTTATATTTTTGCAACATCTATATTTAATTAAAACATTTGTTTTAATTAAAACATATTTTGATCTTCAACACAGAGGTTCCATTGCAGGCTGTGCATTTTGTCTGCTGAGGTAAAGCAGTGTAGACAGTATTGGTGCAGTAGAAGCTGACATGTAGAATCTCAAATGATTCCCATTAAAACAACACTCATGTCTACACAGTGGCCTTAGCTAGATCTCTTGGGCTAAGAGCCCTCCCCAGTCCCCAAGCCTAGGCTACATGTAAACCACATATAATCTCATCAGTAATAGTTGCTGGCTACTACTGATTATACCTGCCTTGGGATACTGCTTAATACTTTCATTCACTTTGTTTTTTGAGACAGGGTCTCACTATGTAGAGACCAGGCTGGCCTCAAACTCACAGAGATCCACCCGCATCTATCTCCCTAGTCTTGGGATTAAAGGTGTGTACCACTATGCTGAGCTTTTCATTCACTTTTTATTGGGTACAATTAGACTTTGAAACAGCCTTTGTTTTACTTTGTATCAATTGTCATATATTCTCATTAATTCAGTATATCTTTAGGGAGAAGCCATTCTTCAAGATACATATTTTACGTGGAAAAATATTAGAAATAAAATGGACATAGTTCTTAATGCTACAAAGTATCTCTATCAGCAAGCTGCCAGTTTGTTGTCAAATAGTCTGATTGACTTACGCACATCCAGACGAACAAACCCTAATACCTTCCATGTACCAGTGCACCTCCATTCCACCTACCCAGCATATGAGGGTGACTGGCAATGCACACACAGCAATGGAGGGAAGAAACCAAAACCTGCATTTAAACTTAGAATCAAGAAACAATAGGGAAGCTACCAATTAAACTATCTAGACTTCCTAGAAAGGGACCTTTGATTTTTAACCTCGTCAAAGTCAAGCTTATTTGGATAATTCACAAACTTTGTGGTAACACTCGGTCCCTTTAGTTGATCACCAAATCTTTAAGCATTTCACTTTCTAAAGAAAGTTCAATATAAATGAGGCACCTTGACCCCTCCTTGTAAGAAAAGTGTTGTTCCTTAGAAATGTACCTTATTGAAATACTTGAAAAGAATAGCTCTAATCTCAGCAAGATTCAGGCAAACTAGCTTTTCCACAATATTTGCTTCACTCTGAGAGAGGCTCTGCAGTGATGCTCTGAGGGAGCTTTGGCGACTCTGGATGCTTTCATTCTTGAACTCAATCGCAGCTTCCAGAGCTTCGATGCCTTCTTCAAGTTGGAAAAGAAGATGTTCTTCCTAGAGATCATGGAAAGCATTCATCTTAGAGACAAAGTACAGCCTGAATGCTGGCACATGCTTAGACCAGATCTTACCATGTGACTGAGTTTAAGAGACAATACCCTTAAACTCCCACTAAGTGTAAAGGACACAGTATTTGAGATTTTGCTACACGGTGTGATGTATCATGTCAGTGTATAACACAGTAAACATCACATAACAAAAAGGAAGGCGCAAAAGTTGGCTGAGTTCCATGGTGTTCCAAGGCTATACAGCAGACACTGATTACCTAATCCAAGGGAGACACTGAACATGGCCTCAGCTCACAGAATCTACAGCACCATCTCCCTCAGGAGGCCTACATTGCCTTTAAAATGTAGACTCTGTACCGACGAGGCCTCACAGCTGCTGTACCTGCAAACAGCTAGCAGAACACCACAGTGCTGGGACAGAAGGGAGGGAACACTTGGAGCCCACAGGAGGATGAGAAGAGAGGTCTATGGGGACACGCAGCAAAGGTGGCAGAGTGGTCAGGTCATGGAGTGGGAGCATTTCATGAGTCCTATGCAATGGGCCAGTCAGAACCATATACCCCAAAGTCCAGTATTTGGAAGGCTGAGGCAGGAGAATCGCGAGTTCAAAGGCTGCATAATGAGACCCTGTGTTTTAACCTCCTTTGAAAAATATTTCTATGAAATATCAATTAAATGGTGGCAATGTAACATCAGTTAATATACTATTCATGTCAGAGAACCTAAGAGTTCTCTGAGCTGCTCAAATTTATACTATGTGGGGTAAAGAGGAGAGAAAACTGAGAGTTGGATATATCTCTGTATTTCTACACCTGTGTAAAGCTAGTTTCTGTGGGCAGACTGCCTTGCCCACACTCACAGCATTGCTGCTCATCATCACATCCTTGATGAATGCTAGGCACAGTATTCATCACATAATTTAAACTCAGTATTTGGCGAGTGAGTTAATGAAAAACTTACAAATATTTTCCTATGCCTGATTATTTTCCCACCACTCCTAAGAGTTGTTAGTGACTTCCAGACCTCCTTTTCTCCAGTTCAAGAAACAGGTCTGTCATTTAGCAGGAAGTTGAATACTTATTTTAAGAAGCTATCTTATAAAATCTTCTGGAAGAACACTATGGGGAAAAATGTTCAATAACCATTTCTCTTGCTATAACTAACCATCATTTGATTATATGATAATTGTTCCAAAAGAAACAAAATAACCATATTACGAAACATGAAGTTTTATAATTTTAAATTGCTATACGTATGCACATTGGTTATATGCAGGAGTGCAGATGCCCTGCAGAATCTAGAAGAGGACATTAGCTGTCTTGAAGGAGTTACAGATGGTTGTGAGCTGCCAAATGTTGGTGCTGGAAACTGAATTCTGGTTCTAGACCCTGAAGCCATCTTTTCAGCCCAATAATTACATTTTTAAGACAGGGGGGAAAAAAACCACCTTAAATAGTTTTGAAAGGTACTTAAGTGAATGAATAAAAGGGACCAATAAATAGAAGTGAGTTATCTAAAGAGAATATATCTGATTTTTCAATTCACACTCGGATTATATTTTATCAAGATTAAATATAAACATTTGGATTATATCTTATCAAAAATAAAAAAGGTTTGCTGAGATTAGAACATGGCTGAAAACAATTTAAGTGTAATTTTAGTTTCTATAGTTTTGAATGTGAGTTAACGAACTGCTGAGAAAATATAAGGTATTATAACAACAGAGCCCTGAAGATTACCAACTCCAAATAAAGGCCACACAGCCAGGGAGATGGCTCAGTGGGTAAAATCTTTTGCTTCGAAGCCTGACTAAGTTTTCTCCCTGGAATCCACATGGCAGAAGTAAAGGACTGACTTTCTGTGGTGGTTTCAATAAAAGCAGCCCACATAGGCCCCTAGGGAGTGGCACTATGGGGAGATGTGGCCTTGTTGGAGTAGGTGAGGCTATATTGGAGGAAGTGTATCACTGGGGGTGGGCTCTGAGGTTTCAGATGCTCAAGCCAGGCCCAGTGTCACTTTTTCTCCCTGCTGATCCAGACATAGAAGTCTCAGCTACCTCTCCAGAACCATGCCTGCTTGGATGCTGCCATGTTTCTGGCCATGATGACAATGGAACGAACCTCTAAAACTGTAAACCAGCCCCAATTAGATGTTTTCCTTTACGAGAGTTGCCACGGTCATGGTGTCTCTTCACAGCAATAGAAACTCTAAGAAGACACTCCCCGAGTTGTCCACTGACCTCCATACGTGTGCTGTGTAGCCTGGTGGTGGTGGCAGCAGCGATGGCGCACACCTATAATCTCAGCACTCAGAAGGCAGAAGCAGGTGGCTCTCTGTGACTCTGAGGCCAGCCTGGTCTACAAAGTGAGTCCAGGACAGCCAAGGCTACACAGAGAAACCCTGTCTTGAAAAAAATAACCCACATGTGTGTTCTGGCTCACATGCATGCATACATGTGCAAGTGTACGTGGATACACACACAGACACACCACACAATGAAACTTTAAAAAAGTGAAAATACAAAATAAATGAGCCACTGGGCATGGTTGTGGCTGTGGCAAACTGTCCAGCACATTGCCGGTACTTTTAAACTCATTTGAACTGCAGAGGTTGGCACAGTCTGAGGGAGCAGGTGTGGGTTGGTCCCAAGGATCTACTTTGCTAACAGGGCCTAAAGCAGTGCTCTCTAAATGTCTTAGACCACACATCCCTTTCAAGAAAGAAGTGAGACAAGGAACTAACACAACCTCTCAAGCAAGTATTGTGCTCTATGTGCATTTTGGATAAACAAATGTTTAAATATAAAAGATGGAAGTAAAACGTAAAAGATACAAGTTCTTACATGTTTTCCTGTACACCACTTACTAGAAGTAACTGAATTATTAGCAAATGACAGGATCTCATAGCTAAGAGACTTTGGACTTCTGTATCTTAATTTGTAAGTATGGGTTCATCCTGTCATCTGCAACAATATGGATAGATAGAAGACATTAAGTTAGCCAAATAAGCCTAGCACAGAAAAATGAATATGAAGCATTTCAATCCACTTGGGCAAGATTAAAAAAAATGGCAGCATAAAAGTAGAAAACAGAACAGCAGTCAGTGGAAGCTCTAAGTGGAGAGGGCAGTGAGAGATTAACAGGCATCTAGAGAGCTAGATGGGCAGATCCAACTCACGTGCCATAGTAGAGTAGGTGTCCAGTTAGACCTCAGTGTCAGTGTGACACTTGAGAAGGGCGTCTCCATCGAGGGCTTCCCCAGATGAGATTGACTTGTGGGCAGATCTGTGTGGAGCTGTTTTGACTGCTGGTCTTGACAGGAAGACCAGCTAACTTTTTCTGGGATATATACAGCAGCAAGCAAAGCATGAGGCAGCAGACATGCCAACAAGCACGTTCCTCCCTGTCTCTGGTCAAGTTCTTGTGGAGCTCCTGTCCTGGCTCCCCTCAGTGACAGACTGTGGCCTGGAAGCTGAAATGAGCCTCTCCCCCTCTGAGCTCTAGAACAGGAATTGCACCAGAGAAGTGTGGCACGCTGTGACCAGCCTTACCACATTGTCTTGAGAATAGATGGGACCTTGGCACTATGGGCTAGAAAACCTGCTGAGTGCTTAGAGCTTCGTAAAGATACACTGTGGGATTGTGGAAGGTATGAATGCCAAGGGAAATGCAAACAGTGGAGGCCTGGGATGCAGGGATGTAGATTTCTCACTAATCGAAGCCTACAAATGAGAGGGAAGCCAGGATTCTGTTAAGACTTGGGGTGGGACCATTGTGAGATATTATGGAATAAGAATGTGCTCATCAGTTAGGGCTATGGCTCAGCTATGATTAATAAGCTATCAATATCACTGAATGAAATGTGTTCTACTGGGGCAATAAGGAAATATTTGCACAGGGTCAGCACACAGAAGGTGTGGTCCAAGGCCATGGGCCATCGCAAGCTGGCAGCCAAGCTTGGCAGTCTGGAAGAGTTCCCACACAGTACTGGTTTGGAAAGCATGAAAGATGCAAGATTGTAGAAATTATGGAGAGTGGGTGGAGCCACGTGGCAGGGACCAGGAGAGAGCACTGGGGAAGGTGCATCCTCAGTTGTGGTGGAGAATAGAGATGGCAGGACTACGGGATGTCTGCCAAGGACAGTGGAGGTGAGCAGAAGGGCAGGCCCAAGCCTGTGAGTCCCACTATGTGTACCACGGATGGCAGAGAAGAAGAAATGGGACTGCTCAAGCCATTTGGAGCTGGAAAATGGCAGTGAGTGAGCCCCAGATGCTTCGGGATCTGGATTTACACTGCTGACTGTTTCTATGCCCTAGTTCTTTCTTGTTGGGGTAAGAATGTATAACGTTTATATTGCAGGACCCCACAGTTAAGAAACATGTATGTGTATGTCTATGTGTTGGGTATACGACATGTGTGCAGGAGCTCACAGAGATCAGAAGATGGCACAGGCTCCCCTGGAGCTGTGAGCCACTTGAAGTGGGTGCTAGAAACTGAACTCCAGTCCTCTGGAAGAGCAGCAGCAGGTGCTCTTGACCACTGAGCCAGCTCTCCAGCCCTAAGAGACTTTTTTTTTTTTTTTTTTTTTTTTTTTTACTGGCAATCCATTGTCTTTTTATTAATTTATTCCTAAGAGACTTTTGACTTTTAAAAGAGACCTTGAATTTTAAAGCACTGGTTTTTTTAAAAAAAACTATGGACTTTTGAAAGTTGGACTGTGTTTTATATTAATGTGAAACTGTAGGGACAGATAAGTGAAAAGTTATAGCTTAAAAGTAGCACATTTGTGTATCAAGCTGATAAAGGATGGACCATCCTCATTTGCTTTAACTGTCAATTTTACACAGTCTAGTGCCTCTTAAGGAGGGAGTCTCAATTTAGGGATTGCCTACATCAGACTGTCTGCTTGCTATTTGATATACAAGGGCCCAGCCCACTGTAAGGGACATCACTCCTTGAGCAGGTGGTCCTGAAGTGTCTGAGAGAGATATCTGAGCATGAGTCAACAAAAGTGAGCCAGCAAGCAGCATTGTCTGGTTTCTGCTCCAGTTCCTACCACAACTCCCTCCGTGATGGACAGGGACCTGGAGGGTGAAATAAACTTTTCCCTCCCCTCACTTGCTTTTGAACAGTATTTTATCACAGCAACAGAAAGGAAACTAGCCTGTAACAATTATCCACTTGAAAATAACTAGAAGAATCCAAGTGTTTCTACTGTACAGACACAGTACCTGAGGAGATCTGGCTTTATCACTATCTACTGTGTACATACACTGAATTATATTATTGTGCTCCATAAATAAATAAATATAAATTTACAAATAAAAATTACAATTCAAATATGTATTTTAATTTTTGGATTTCATTAAAAACGAAAGTGTTCTTCAGTGAATTGTTGGGCAACCTGCTACTAAAATGACTTAAAGTCTATCACTTATAAATAAATTACTGTAAATACAGTAAAGAAAAAATTTTAAGCAAGTTTAAAGACATCAAAATAGCAAGCTATTCAAGTTCAGGTCTTGGGTCACTTTAGAATCTTCCATTAATTTGCTACTGGCAGATGTATTTGAGAATATTAAATCTTGGCTTTAAAACAGTGGTAAGAGCACAAAGAAAGCCAAAGACAAGCTCACAAGGCTAAATGGAACACAATTATGTGCCAGTACTGTTCAGGAAGTACTATGCATGGTGTCACCCACAAGTCAATGTTATCTGCCACAGAACTCCCCATGAAATGGAAGCCATTTTTGCGACAGGCTCTCACCATGTAAGTCTAGCTGGCCTGGAACTTTCAGCAGTCTGCCCATGTCAGCCTTGGACACACGTGTGCACTACCATGGCTTCATGCTTCTTAGTAATGGTTCTGCCCTCCTCAGTGTGCTCAGTCTCCGGTCTGCTCTATTTAATAGTGTCCTGTCAAAATCCAAACTATGACTGCAGATCACCATGGCAGCATTACATGGCTATCCTGAGATAACCTCTGCACTGATTTGTCACTTGAAAAATATTATAAACACAGCTTTGCTACATTATGTTACTCTCAAGGGGAGCATAACACTTAGCAGCAGACAGTTCTGGGCAGACAGGGCTCCTGAGTGCTGAAGTTTGCTGTGTACTAGGTGCTTATCCCTTCAAATCTAAAAGTTCAAGGCTCTAGTACCCTTTAGGAAAGCAGCCTGATTCAGGAGTCTCTGTACAGCTGCCCAAGTCAAGTCACATTACAGGACACAGATGTGAGAGAGGTCCTTCAGCTAGACAGGACCCAGACTAGCTGAGTTCCTTTCACCAGTTCATTCAGCAGTAGCCTTATGGGACACCTCTAACATCCTCCCTCTCGTCCAGTCTAAAACACAAGCTTCCGCAAGGACCAAGGCCCGAGCAGTTTACCTCCTTTCCCTTCCTTTGGTAAAGGGAGGACATAGTCAATATTTGGAGAGAAAATTCAGGTTCAAAAAACTCATCTGAAACAGGGCACTGGGATCATTTTCCCACTGAAATAAAGCATGTTTTTTAAGGCTAACTCTGGTGCAATTTGAAAGGCAATGAATGACTCATCTCTTATATGTTTAAGAGGGAAAAAAAAAAACAGCTGAGAAGAGCTATATTCTCTCAAATAAAAATTATAACCAAAAGGTATTTTATTGGAATCTGTATTTGTGTTTGGATGTTTCCAAAACACCAGGCCTTTTTCAAGATAGGCATGTTGTGTGGACCTAACATGATTACCAAAGACACACAGATGACAGGTGAACTGGGCCAGCAAATAAGGGGCAAAGCTGACCCCCTGAGTACCACAGGGTAAAGGGGGAGAACTAACCCCACAAACAAACCATGGTGTGCCTGTGTGTACATTGATCCCTCTCAAAATGTGAAAAAAATAAGAAAAAACAGAAGCTATGCGCTCTCTCCTTGAGAAATAAATGGTAAGAGACTTTTAAACCATATTCTATGATGTGTGATTTCAGGTAAGAAACAGCTAAGAAGGCCAAGGGATGCCTGAGTTCCCAAGCGCCTGACAATACCAGGCAGGACACATGCAGTTGCCTTTCTGGGAAGCCATCTGTCTCTGGTCACGAATGCCTTACACTACCAAGTAGATGCCAGATGAACTCATTAGCTGACAGTCTTGAAACAGGTTTATCAGATTCATCAAGTTTATGGTCACATGACAAGGGAGTCTCCCACATCACTCATCGTCATACATCAACTCCAGCTCCAGGGAATACTGACTTACTTTGGGGGACAGCACTCTACCATTCTTAAGCTTTTCATCCACACTGTTTCTCTGTCTCTGAAGCTGGTCCTTTTCCTTCTGAAGAGCTTGTACTTGTTCTGAAATCTTTATTTTCTCCTCAGTTGTGCTGCTCTCGAGCTGCAAACTTTTCTGTGACAACTCTTGGTCCAAAAAGTTCAGGCGAGCGGATATTTTCAGACTATCTGTGCTTAAGGCCTAAAAAGATAGAAACAGTTACAAAAAATTCAGGGATCTTAGAAAATAGGGAAACATCAATAAAATACTAAATGGTTCTAGATAATAAAACTTTCTAACGGGGTTCATTAACTAAAATCTTACATGGTTCTTTAAAAAGTATATAGATTTAAAGTATGAAGTTATGGGGACAGAGAGTAGCTCAGTGGTTAAGAGCACCGGCCACTCCTGCAAGAGAACTTGAGGTTCAATTCCCAGCATCCACATGACAGCTCACAAAGCTCCTCCAGTTGCAGAGGATCTGCTGCCCTCACCTGGGACAGTCCACACACATGGTGCACTTAATATACATGCAGGCAAAACATTCATTTAAAAAGAAAACCAAAGGTTTTGAGAGGTAGTATTTTTTTTTCTTTCATTATTTTATTCCTAAGTTCATTACATGGCAAAACTATTGTAATTTCTTAAAAAGTTAATATTTGGTATGTTTCAACATTTTTATTCTTATTTCATTATGGTCAGAAAATAGAATATGGTTAGATTTATGGAGATGTGCATTATAACTTAAAATAATTTTTTAAAATATTGAATTATATACTTACATGTGGTTTCTAGCATAAACTACCATAAAGTTTATCATATAATAAAAGGCAGAACCATCTCCCAAAGTCTCCTTACCCCTTTTTAGTTAGCTCTTCTGTATTTTACCCATATATCTCCCAATCAATTTTAGCTATTGCCTGTCTATTACAGGAGTTAAAAATTTACACTCATACCCCTCCTTCTCCGTATACCATCTCTCATCTATTTCCCATTGAAAGTTATAGTAGAGCTTTTGGTTAAGTCAATATTCACTTGCCTCATGAACTTGTGACTATTACTCATAGCTGATGTACATGAAAAAAATTATCATACTTCCACCTGATAGAATAAAATTATAATCTCATACTTTCTTCATTTAATCCAAGTTATCACTAAACATTCAATAATCTTCTTAATCTTTACATTTACCTTATTTATGTTGGTGTATGTGTGCCACAGCACAAGTATGAAAGTCAGAGGACAACTTCTGGGAACCAGTTCACTCCTTCCACCATGCGAGCTCTGGGGTTCAAACTGAATTTGGTGACAAGCGCCCTTACCTACTTTGCCATTTTAGCACATTTTTTTCTTGAAACACTTTACCTGGAGCTCCAGCCTCCTGCTTAAACTAACTTTCTTCTGGGGCTTCATCAGGCATGCCCATGTTGATAACAGCTTCAGACACTCATATCCTCTTTCATATCTAAAGCACTCACTCATGAGGCTCCTGTTCCAGCCGCTTCCTGAGGCAGGTTTGATGGGAACACTCTGCCTTCACACTGCATAGGAATTTGGGCTAAGAAGAGGATTTTCTACTTGAAATACTTTTCCTCATAAACTTGAAGACTGCCTCAGATCTTTTAACTTTCAGTAAAGAAAGTGCCCAGTGAAAGAAGCCCAGTGCCAACCTGGCTTCTAAGGTTGGCAATGACTAATTCCTTCTATCTGGAGGTACTGAAGACTTGTTTTTCTGTGTTTCATCTGAACCTTTCACAATACTGTGCTTTGGACACTCACTGTGCTGGTTCCCTTGAGGGCTTTTTCAGTCTAGAATCTCACATTGTGTTGGGAAGCATTTATTTTTCATTTAAGATTTATTTTCATTTTATGTAAATTAGTGTTTTGCCTGCACATATGCATACGAAACATGTTTGTGAGGAGGTCAGATAAGGGCATAGAATCCCCTGGAACTGGAGTTACAGATAGTTTGTGAACCACCGTGCAGCTGTTAGGAGTGGAACCTGGGTTCTCTGTAAGCATGAGGGCTCAAATCACTAAGCCAGCTCTCCAGCTCTGGAAACTTTTTATGGTATGTTTTTGATCATCTCCTGTTTTTTCCTTTTGAATTTTATTGAGTGCTGGACTTCCTAGACTTATCTGAGATTTTCTTTTTCCTCTTTATTTCCTAGTGATTTATTTTTTTTTCCTGAGACAGGTTTTTCTGTGTAGCCTTGGCTGTCCTGGAACTCACTCTGTAGACCAGCCTGGCCTCAAACTCACAGAGATCTGCTGGCCTCTGCCTCCCAAGTGCTAGAAATAAAGGCATATGCCACCACTGCCCAGCTGTTTCTTTGTACTATTATAATCTTTCTGCTTCAACCTCCTAAGTTCTAGGATAACAGGCAGATTATCTTTTCATTATAAAATTGTAAGCTGCCTTTATATATTCTCAGTCTCTTTTCAGATAAAGGATTTTCAGATATTTTCCTGTATTCCAAAAGCTATCTTTTTACTTCCCTGATTGTGTCCTTTAAATCTCAAATATTTTTACTATTAAGTCCCATTTATTTGTTTTTTCTTTTCTTGCTGTGTCTTAGGTATGCCATCCAAGAAATCACTACTTAAAAGGTCACAAAGAGGGCCAGAGAGATGAGTCAGTAGTTAGGAGCCCATACTGCTCTCATAGAGGACCCAGGTTTAGTTCTCATCACATCAGGTGGCTCATAGCCATCTGTAACTCCAGATACAGGGGACCAATATTGTCTTTGGGCCTCTGGGCACATATGTGCATACATACATGCAGACACATACAAAGAAAAATAAATCTTAAAAAATTACATTATGAAATGGTAATAAGAACACATGGTCAGGCCTATGTGTTCCTCTAATGGTTTTATAATTTTAGCTCTTACTTGGAGGCCTGTGATATATTTTAATTTTGTTTGTTTATTTCTTTTCTGGCGGGGTATCCCTGTACAGCCCAGGCTACCCTTGAACATGATATGCAGCCCAACTTAGGTGTTTCCTCACCTCAGGAACACTAGGTTTACCAGTGCAGCACCATGCCTGGCTTGAGTTAAATAAACACAATGTCTTTTTCTTTTCTGTCATTTTAGAAAAGTATTCAACTATGGTACTTTTCTGAAATGCACATAATCAAAGTCTTATAAATATTTCTCAAACAATAGAAAAATGAAATCTTTTAGCTTTGTTGGTCTCCTGGTGGCCCTCCTGTCCCCTCTATGTCCCTCTATAAACCCTCCTCCCCACCACCCCCCTGCCTCTTCTTCTTCCATAAGACTCCCTCTGCTCTGCCCAAAGTTTGGCTGTGAGTCTCAGCATCTACTTCGATCCCCTGTTGGGTGGAGCCTTTCAGAGGACCCTCTATAGTAGGATCCCATCCTCTGTCCTCTCTTCTAACACTTCTAGTATCTATCCCATTTGCCATTCTGAATGAGATTTAAGCAACCTCCCTAGGGTCCTCCTTAGTGTTTAACTTCTTTAGGTCTGTAATTAAAAATCTGAGCCTCGGGGGTCCTGCAGAGACTGATGCACCAACCAAGGATGCATGGAGAGGACCTAGACCCCCTGCTCAGATGTAGCTGATAGGCAGCTCAGCCTCCATGTAGGTTCCTAAGTAAGATGAGCAGGGGCTGCCTCTGTCATCAACTCAGTTGACTGCTCTTTGATCACTTGCCCCTGGCAATGTGGCCTTACCAAGCCTGAGAAGAGGAGGATCCAGGCAGTCCTGATGAGATTTAACAAACTATGGGCAGATGGCAGAGGAGGAGAACTCCCCCTTTCAGTGGACTAGGGGAAGGGGACAGGAGGGAAGAGGAGGGAGGGTGGGACTGGGAGGAACTGAGGGAGGGGGCTTCAATCAGGATATACAATGAATAAATTGTGAAAAAAAATTTTAATTCATCAAAAAATAAAAAAAGAAAAATTAAATCTTTTAATGCCCTTTTTTGAAAAGAATCAAGTGGGATAACAGTCTGTTTATAGTCTGTTAAAATTTTCAAAGAATTAAGGTGGTTTCATTCATTTATACTTCCTCCTTATCTCAGTATGTTCTTGCTTCTTAAAATCTCCAGCAGCTTCTTAAAATCTCTGCTGAAGAGATGCTCAATGTTTAGTAGCCTGCGTTCCTCCTGCAGAGGACCTAAGCTTGGTTGTGAACGCCCACATCAAGTGCTTACGTCCCCCTGTAACTCCAGCTGCAGGGGATCTAACACCCTCTTCTTCAGGACACAATACCCCCCTTACAGACATATATATGCACCTAATTTTAAAAAAAGCAATCTTTTTAAAAAAATTATAATTCTCTAAAATAAAAAGATTTTTATGCTTTTTCTTGTTCCATATCATAAAAGTAAACTTATCTTAAGAAAATATTTTCCTCAGCATTCTTTTATTTTCTCCTTCTCTCTTTATTTTGTGACACTGAATATACCACAGAAGTCCAGGTGGTTTCTTCTGTTGTTCACTTGTAATTCAGATTTGTTTATCTTTTGCTGTTATTTTCCATGTTTTGCGAGATAGCTTTTACTTGACCCTGACAGTCAGTTTAAGCAAGTACCTGGATATGCCGTTAGGAATCGTGTTTATCAGAGGCCACCCACGCCCAAGAGCAGTAACCAACTGGACTGAGAAATGGGGTGACACAGTACAGTCAAATACAGGGGTAGCAGCATTAAGAGCTCACATCATCAACTCAGACCCTCTGGTCCAGATGCTTACTAACATGAGGGTCACTGACCCTTTGTTCTCTGACCCAGATGTAAACTCAGTCTAGGCCAAATGACAGCTCTAAGTAAAAGTATATCTTCAAGTCTGAGCAAGTCAGCTTTATTTTTAAATGCTATTGGTGAAAATTCATGCATGTAAGTCAAATAGTTCCTGATGCTTTTACTTCTACAATCATTCCTTTTTAAAAATTTGAAACTGAGGCAAACCTGTTCATAAAACTGCTTCATTAACTGGCTCATAAGGTCCCAGGCTTTAAAAATATTTATGACATTTCCCAAGTCTTTATAATTAAAAACAAGCAAACAAACAAACAAACAAACAAACAAAACACGTCATTCTACAAGCCTTTTTTAAATATAAATCTTGTTAACTCCCCTAATTTTGGGTGATAGTGACATAAACATATATAATTTTCCAAATTTCAGTCCCTACTATAAAATATTATATAGTACAACTTATCTGAAATACTCACTGAAGTTACTAATGGAGGTTGACAAAGAAGGGAGTTAAAGAGGAGTTACTGTTTAAGGTCACAGATTTTTCTACTCATGGAATGAAAGTTTGGAAACATATAGTCATGACGGTTATACAACATTGTAGGTATTAATGCTACTGAACTGTAAACTCAAAAAATGGTTTTAAAAGTAAATTTTAAGCTGACCATGACCATAGGCACATTCCTATAATCCTAGCACCAGACTCCGAGGCAAAAGTTCATGGCCAGACTAGGCTATAAAGAAAACACTAGTAAAGAACAAAACAAAAAAGGTAAATTTTATGTTCTATATATTTTATCACAATATAAAAGTTAATGATAAGTCATATTTGAAACATGGGGTCAGTGCTTTGATGACAGCAGTTTGATAAAGTAGCAGTACACGCTGAGAATAATCATTTTTCTTCAGCTTCTGTCTACAGTTGGTATGTGTGTCTGTGGACATATGTGGACATGTGTTTCGAGGCCAAAGGTCAACATCAGGTGTCTTCCTCAGTGGCTTTTTCACATTCTTTTTTTGAGGCAGGGCCTCCCACTGAACCTGGAGCTCAGTGATGCGGCTAGACCAGCTGGCCTCAATCCACCTCCTCAGCACAGAGATTACAAGTGCATACTTCCGTACCCCCTTCTATGGGTTCTTGAGATACAAACTCAGGCCCTCACTCTTGGATGGAAAGCAAATTACTAAGTTTGTAATTTACCTTTCACTTTTTTTATGTTCTTTTTTGTTTAGGGGTGCTCTGCCTGAATGTACATCTGTGTTCCATGGGCATGCCTGGTGCCGAAGGAGGCCAGGAGAGGATCCCCTAGGACAGGAGGTGCATATAAATGGCTGTAAGCCACCATGTGTGCTGGGGATCACTTAACCATTCATCTAGCTCTTTTAGAAAACAGCCTGGATGAAGAAGAAGATGACAAATAGGATACCTGGCTAGATCGAAGCTTCTTGCTCTCCAGGTGGCTCTTCTCCTTCAGCAGGGCTTCCTTCTTAGAGATGATGGCTTCACGTTTCTTCAGGTCTTCTTCCAGCAGCTGCAGTTCTTGGCGCTGGTTCAGAACTTTCTCTACTTCTTCATCCAACCATTTCTTTTGTTCATCCAATTTCTATATTAAAAGAAATACTATGGTTTGTTTCTCCCCTACCATAAGAATTGTGTCATATTAAGTGGCTGAAACCCTGAAAATGAACGCTGAAACTATTCATGTCCCATAGGAACATGAATTCTGGCTAATGTGCTGCTGCGTTGTCTTATAGGGGGGTGAAAGGGATTACCCACAGTGTTACTCAGCTGTTTGTGCTGACAAAGGCACCACAGTTTCCTTACATCTCTTAGAATCAGCCAGGCTGTCTTCGCCTGCTGCTGAGGCCATGCTTTCCACGCTGCCGCTGGCAGCTGCTCTCCTAGCCTGCCTTCCTCCCACCTGAGCTACTTCATAGACTCTAAGAGCAGGACTGTTCAGCCCCCCGTTAGGTATGCTGCCTGGATTGCAGCATCTGATAAAAGGTCATATGAGTAAAAATAAATGCCCTATTCAATCAACCACTGGAAAAAATACGCCATGAAAAACAAAGCTACCCTGCAGTTTGTCAACTTCACGTCCTACAAAATAACATGCACAGGTGGAAGAATAGACAAAGTATGTATGCTAGTATTTGGTTAGTTAAACACCAGAAGCAAGTACAAATAGAAAAACATGACTAAGTACTTTCTGTCATGAGCATATTGATGTCATTAAAGCCACTAAAACAACAAATAAGTAGAAAAGTCAACATGGTACTATTTCCCAGTCTACCATGGGCCCATGACAGAACTCCTGGAAGTGTAGACTGAGACAATGAGGAACCAGACATGGCATCCAGCACTTCAGAGGTGGAAACGAGAGGATCAGAAGCTCAGGGAGCCTCAGAGTAATCTGAGCTCACCTGAGACAAAACAACAGGAAGACAAGGTAGAACTAGCTTGAGAAAAGAGCAGTGTAGCCACATACCACAGGCACAAAGTCTTATGACCAACCCAAGCAGCACTGAGGCAGCAGCTCTGTAGCTGTGGGAGTGCGAGCTGAAGTGTTCTAACTTCAGTTTAGCCTTAGCCTCAGCAAGAGGCCTTATAAACATCACAATCGAGGTAATACTTATGGCATTTCTCCACTGAGTGGGGTTCCCAGGAGAAAAAAAAGACAATTGCAATTGTTGAAGATACTTCTGAGCACAAATGGTGTGTGAGAATACACTCACACTCTAAATGTCACTATTAAAATATGTAAAATTTAAATAATATTTTTCAAAACTTAAATAGATGTATTTGTATTCGGAATATAATTGCAATTTTAAGTACAGTTTTTATCAAGTAAGCATTTTCAATTTCTTTGGGCTTTAAAATTAGTTTGTGGTTTTATTTTTTTAAAATATGACACTAAGTACATTAAGGACTCTGTAATATTATAGTCCATACTTAGTTTGGTTCTGTTTAAATGTAGAGCTCTGGATTTTAGAAATATACCTGTCTCTATGAGAATAAATCTGTCTGTAATGGGAATAAATATAATCTAGTGAACATGGATTTCACACAATATTCAAACAAATCATTCCTGCCAACATAAGAAGATAACACATTTCTGGATGAGAAATACATTAGTAAAATTTTTTAAAGAAATATATTTTATAAACAAGAACAAAAAAATCTAATGTTTGAAGATTTTTATTCAGAATTGGCTATTTTTCACATATATTTATTTACACACTTATCAAAACAAAAGAGAATGAGAAACACTGAACAAAGCTGACCAACCTGGAGTTGGTCCACACTTCTAAAAGGACCTTTTCTTCTGTTTGAATTAAACCCATCGATGTCCTGAGCTTTTGGGTTCAGACCGTCTCCTTGTCCTGTTTTTAGTTGCAGCTCCTACACATAGAGAAATTTAAAATGCCTTATTCACTTTTACTCTCTGCCTCATTAAATATGCAGATAATCTTTCTCTTTTCTCCCACTGTCCCTTTTCTCGTCATTTAAGTTAGACCTCAGAGCCATACACACACACACACACACACACACACACACACACAAGTGTGTGCTCTGTTGAGTTTACAGCCAACAACTTTAGAGTAATTTTCTTAGCATTCACTTCCTTTTTTTTTTAAGATTTATTTAATTATTATTATGTATAGAGTATTTTGCCTGCATGTGGGCCTGCATGCCAGAAGAGGGCACCAGATCTCATTATAGATGGTTGGGAGCCACCATATGGTCACTGGGAATTGAACTCGGGACTTCTGGAAGAACAAGCAATGCTCTTAACCTCTGAGCCATCTCTCCAGTCCCCACATTCCTTCTTACAAGAGCAAAATAACAGTGAGGTTATTTTGAGTTGGAAGCAATAAAGTCAGGGTTTACTAATAAACTGAGCTCGTGTTGCTCTGCCTTCCTGAGACGGTGACCCTAGCAGTCACTCTGTATGCCTGCTAACGGTCACAGGCGCGTCTGAACTTATGGTGACAGAAAAGCATGTTTCCAGTGCACAACAACTGGGGCTGAAGCAATGGCTTGGTGGTTAGGAGTGGTGCTGATCTTGCAGAAGATCTGAGTTTGGTTCCCAGAACCATGTCAGTCAGGATGTGGCTCATGACACCTGTAACTCAAGCTCCAGGGGCCCAGAGGCCTCTGACCTCTGTGGGACCTGTGCTTATATGCACATGTAGAGAGACACTCACAAATACAAAATAAAAAAAAATAAGTATTTATCAAATGCAAGCCTGCAGCTTAAGAATAGCCTCATACGGGCAGACAGAGCAAGCCTTGAAGAGCCGTCTGCAACTCTGTTAGCTTCTGTTTGCACCAGAAGAACTAAATCAATGCTCATGGTGGGCCCCACTATTGATACCCCGTGTCAGGAAGAAGAGCATGGATAAAATGTTTCACATATGTTGGATGATAACTCAGGGAAAGAAATATAAGAAGGAAGAGACCAACGGACCTGGTTTCTTATTCAAGAGACCGAAGGATTATTTAAGTTTTGGAATAAGATTTGAACAGATTTGGTTCAACATGGGTTTAGCTGTTACTGATCTATGATGGATAAGCATAGAAGCTGAAAATATTTAGATACTTTCATAGCAATTTCATCTGATAATTTCAGATCTACTGAATTCCATCAGTTAAAACAGTGGTTGTCAACCTATGGGTCATGGAGCCTTTGGCAAACCTGTATCTCTAAAAATATTACATTATGATTCTTAACAGTAGCAAAATTACAGTTATGAAGTAGCAAGGGAAATAATTCTGTAGTTGGCAGTTACCACAACATGAGGCAGGCACTATATTAAAGGGTGGCAGCATTAGGAAGGTAGAACCACTGAGTTAAAATATGGTACTTAGCTGAGCAGGGTTTATGCCTATAATCTTGCTACTCAGCTGGCTGAGATAGGAGAATCACATGTCTGAGGCCAACCTGGACAGCAACAGTGAACGCATGTATGTTAGACAGTGAGATGTTGTCTAAAATGAGTGCTGGGTATAGTGGCAGCATACACCTCATCTAACCCTCACCCGTGACTTGAGAGCAGTCTGGGCTATCCTATCACTAAAGCAAACAAGCAGAGAAAGCAAGCTAAAGTGTATTTGGGGGTTTATTAATATAACTGTACTTCATTTTTCTGCTAGTTTGTGTTTTACAAAAGCATTGGGGCTGTGACAATTGTATAAGGAAATAAAAACTGCTTCTCAAAGATAATTTCAGAAGGGCTGTCAGAAAAGTAGATCAAAACTTCCCAGTTCTGGGAATAGAATGATCAAACAGAAATAACAGATATCTGTGGTGAAACTGTCCTCTCCTGAGTGTTGGCACAGATGGGGTAGGAAAGGGATTGGGGGTGGGGGAGCAGAGGGGACTCTAACCCAGGTGACAGCACAGTCATAGTGCACTCAGCCTCTATTAAGGAACAGATGGGCACGATTGGCAGAGATACTGGCAGACTCCTTGGTCTTTCATGTGATGTGGGTTCTGAGTGGAAAAGCATGCAGGCCAGTCATTATGGGTAAACAAGGACACAAAATTGAAGGCAAGAAAAGGCTACTGAGCTACTAGAGACCTAGTGATCTCCACTGGCATTTATAATGGTATTGGGGAAAGGATGAAATGAAAGCATTGCCATGCTCTAAACTAGAAGCCAGAGGAGCCTGTAAGTCATTCCAGCAAGGGATCCATCATCAGGAGCCAAAGGTTAAACAGGGTAAGGTAGGCCAGATTCTAGCCAAAGACCCTGAGTTGCTTACAACACAGAACTAGAAACACTACAAACTGGCAAGTGACATTCCTGAAGGTGGCAGCTAATACCCACTTACAGGCTGCACTCTACAGCCTACTCCGGGGACAGGCAGAGAGCGGCTGCCTTACAAGATGGTGGGTAATGGCAAACACTAGTATCAGAACCCAGGGAGGAAGAGACCGGAAACCTTGGAAACCACAAGGAGAAAGTCTAGAGTATAACTTGGAGGGCCCATCCCTTACTAGGAGTGCTTGCTTCCTGGATAAGGACAACCATAGAGGGTCGGAGCAGGACAAAGGCAAAGCCCCAGAGACTCATGCAGATAATTGTAAAGAAAAGAAGGGGTCTAGGCTCTCTCTGTGCATGGTCCTTGGTTAGAGTATCCATATCTGCAGGACCCCCTGGGCCCAGATTTTTTGGCTCTGTTGGTCTCCTTTTGGAGTTCCTGGCCCCTCCAGGTCTTACTATCTCCCTCTTCTTCCATAAGGTTTCCTGCACTCTGCCCAAAGTTTGGCTATGAGTCTCAGTATCTCCTTCAATACCCTGATGTCGGTAGAAGGCTCCTAATGCCCTGCTCAGAGGAAGCCTATAGGCTGCTTAGTTTCCTAAGGGTGGGACTGCGAGGAGACAAGGGAGGGGGCTACAGCTATGATACAAAGTGAATAAATTGTAATACATACATACATACATACATACATACATACATACATACATACATACATACATACATACTTGAAAAAAAAAAAAGAAAAAGGATGGGGAGGAGGGAGGAAAGGAAAGAGGAGGAGGAAAGGAGGGAGGAAGGAAGGACAAATATGTAAACACCAAAAAAAGGCTCTTGCAACAGCTACACTGGCAGAGGGAGAGATGCCAGGAAAATCATCTCTTCTCAGCACTCAGAGCATTTGTAAGCAGCCATTTTAAAAGACTCCTACTGGGCTGGCATCTAGGCAGCGTGAAGACACAAAGGTCCCTCCTGGGATGCCTCACTCTGAAACCCAAAGCAAATGTTGCAGGACTGTATTGCCTTCTGAGAGTTGACCTGGAGAATGCCTGTAACTAGAGTGAAACCTGGACCCACACAGCACCCTCTGAGGTGGGGATCTGACCTAAGTTAGCGATTCCAAAGGGCCCCCCATTCAGGCCTAGCACCCATGCTAGGCTATACGAGGGAGCACACAGAGGAAGGCCCAGCACCCAGGCTCGAAGGAAGAATTAAACAACCAAGGCCAGCACTTGCGTGCAGCAAGGGACACAAAGACTGTGCAGAGCTCATGGTCCTCTCCTTCATAGTCACCGCATTCAGCAGACCAGCTGGGCTGCCCTGCTCACTCTCCTGTGTTCTCCCAAGTGCTGGGTACTGCTGGTGTGTGACTGTACTGCCTTTCCACCCTTAGCTGCCTCATCACCTCACCCCTTCTTCTTCCTTTACCTCTTTTTGTTCTTCTTTCTAATGCTGACACTGAATCTTGCTCTTCCCTTCTCCCCCTAGCCCTGGGAAACAGTGTCTGAGTATGCTAACTATGCCACCCTTGTTTCTTTAATCCTCCAAGTGACTGGAGTCAAAGAGACAAGGGTTTTGAAGCAGACTCTCAATATGTAGCCTGTTTTGGCCTTGAACTTGCAGTTCTCCTGCCTCAGCCCCTTGAGTGTGGGAGTTACAAGCATGAGCCATCAGACCCAGCTTAGTCTAAATATGATCTTCTGTAGCTATTGTCAGTAATCTGTCCATCAGATAGCTAGATGTACTCAACCAGCTTCATACCCTTTAGCCAATGTTTTCCTTTTTCCCCACCTAAACTCAGTTCTGACAACACCCTTGTCAGCTCCACCAGGAGGAAAGAGTCCTTAGCAGATGGTGCAACTGGAGTTCCACATGCAAAAGTGTGAAGCCAAGCCCAAATGTCACATCACATATGAACATGGACACCAAGTAGATTAACAACCTGACCACATAAATAACCATACAATTTCTGTGAGCAAACCTGGACTTCACACCAAGATCACAAGCAACAGATAAAGTGAGCTTCAAAATTTAAAGCCTTGTGCATTAAAAACATTACAGAGATGAGAAAATATTTCGATTGGTGGAGGCCCTGCATAGCATTAAACCCAGAGTCCCAAGTCAATTCCTAGTACCACATAAACTGGGCATGGCTGAGCATTCTCCTGAACCCAGCACTCAGGGAGTGAGGCCTGTCTGATCAGAAGTTCATCAGGGCCATCTCTGGCTACATAGTAAGTTGGAGCCCAGGCTGAGCTGTATAAGACCTTGTCTCAGAAGGAGAAAAAAAAATTATACTCCAAAAGATTAGGCCTGTCAACACCCGCTGCCATAGAAAGGGGAGGGACTCCTGGGCCTTCATCCTGAACAAGGACTTAGAAGCAGCTAGCAATTGACAGGGAAAGGGGTTGTGGCCATTGGGAATGAGTACATGCTCCTGTACACAATCTAAATGAAGTTCACTGGTTAGCAACAACAAAAAAGAAAAGACATGAGAAGTAAAGCAGCACCTGGAAGAGAAGGGAGATGACTAATGGGAGTGAGATGGAGACAACAGAAGTAACTGGGGAAGGGGGAAGGTGATACAAATACACTAGGTTCATGTATGAAAATGCTGTAACATTCACCAACTCCATATTCAGCAGATCCAAAATATATAAAGAACTCAAGAAACTAGACATCAACCAACCAAACAATCCAATTTAAAAATGGGGTACAGATCTAAACAGTGAATTTTCAACAGAGGACTCTCAAATGGCTGAGAAACACTTAAAGAAACGTTCAACATCCTTAGCCATTAGGGAAATACACACCAAAAAGACTCTGGGATTCTGTCTTATACCTCTCAGAATGGCTAAGATCAAAACTACAAGAGACAGCTCATGCTCGCAAGGATGTGGAGCAAGGGGAACACTGCTGAGGGGAGTGCAAAGTTGTACAGCCACTATGGAAATCAATCGAGGTTTCTCCGCAAATTGGGAATTGATCTACCTGAAGGCTAGCTACACGTACCCAGAGGACGCTCCATCCTATCACGAGGACACTTATGTTCACAGCAGCTCTATTCGTAATAGCCAGACACTGGAAACAACCTAGATGCCCCTCAGCCAAAGAACAGATAAGAAATTGTGGTACATTTACATAATGTACTCAGGTGTTAAAACAGTGGCATCATGCAATTTGCAGGCAAATGGATGGAACTATTAAAGATCAACCTGAGTGAGGTAACCCAGAGAGAGATAGCATGTAGTTTTGTCAGCCGTAGCTAGCCTTTAAAAGTCTTAACAATTTCTCTCAGATTTCCTCTCATTCTCCCCCAGTCCTGAAGGGATAGTGCAGCAAATTATGGCAGAAATAAGCAGGGTACATTTATCTGTCTTTGAAAAGAACAAGTCTACAATAAGTAAACTTGAGACCAGCAGCTTGCTCTCCACTGGGGGTTATTCACCCTGGCACATCACCCTGCACATGAGGTGTACAGGTGTGTATATACCTATAAATGAAGTGGCAGAGTGTGCTTAGTTGAGAATGTGCTGCCTGTGCATGAGGACCAGAATTTGATCCCCAGCACCCAAGTCAGAAAGCAGGGAATGATGACGTGAACCTGTCATCACAGTGTTCACGAGTGCAGAGAGGCGGATCTCTCAAACTCCCTGGCTAGCCCGTGTAACTTTCAGTTACTATCAGATGACTGGAACTGGGGGACATTTGGACAACGATGTGGAAACCTCGAATGGTGGAATCTGTGAGGGTGACCCTGGCAAAGACTCCTAGTAATAAGGGACTCAGAGCCTGAAGCGGCCACAATTTGTCCTGCCTGCAAGATGTTCTAGGGTAATGATGGCACAGATCTTGTGGGAGTGGCCAACCAATTTCTAGTCCAACTTAAGGTTCATGCCACGAGAGAGAACCATGCCTGACACTGTCTGGATGGCCAGGAACCAGAGGCTAAACAGCCCAGAGACCTAGGTTAGAACCAAACATGACTGGAAAAAAAAAAAAAAGTCAAATAAAGGTTTCCTCATGACATGCTGCTATACTCATAGGTCAGTGCTTCCTCCAGCAGCTGATGGGAACAGATGCAGAGAGTTACAGCAAACATTAGGGGAGCTTGGGAAACCCTGTGAAAGAGGAGAGATAAAGGACTGTAGGACCCAGAGGGGCTGAGAATGCCACAAGAACACGGCCCACAGAATCAACTTAGCAGGGTTCACAGTGTATCACAGAGGCTGAGGTGACAATGATGGACCCTATATGGGTCTGAGCTAGGTCCTCTGCATATACATTATGGTTGTGTAGTTTGATGTTCCTGTGGGACTCCTGACAGTGGGAGTAGGGACTGTCTCTGACTCTTTTGCCTGTGCTTGGGACCCTTTTCCTCCTGCTAAGTTGCCTTGTCCAGCCTTTATATGACCGAGGTATGTGTCTAGTCTTACTGTAACTTGCTATTCCCTGTTTGGTTGATATCCCTGGGAGGCCTGCTCTTTTCTGAAGAGAAAGGAAGAGGAGTGGATCTCAGGGAGAGTGGAGGTTGCTGTGGGGTGGGGGAGGGGGGACTGAGAAAAATGGGAGGAGGGGAAACTGGATGTAATATATGAAAGAATAAATAAATAAAACAAAAATAAATAAAAAAGAAAATGTCATGATGTCTCCCCTGTATTACTGGTAGAAATGCAAAATACTGCTGTTGTTACTATGGAAAACCAACCACTGGCAGCTCCTCAGATCTGACTTCCACACATGCATTCTGTGATTCGTGCACACCCATATTTCATGCACACCCATATTTACACACCCAGAAAAGTAAATGAAAAAATAAAAGTAAATTATAAAAATTAAATTTAATGATATATCAAAACCCACTGTATGGTAAATAAATTATATACCAATAAATTTACAGCAATTTAAGAATGGGCAAATGCTTTTCAAGGTATGTAACTAGGTTCTGTTGGGTCTGAAAGCAGGCGACAGCTGGCGTTAAAACATAACTAATCTGGGGTGCTGACGATGGAGGAAGCTGTGCTGCGGGAACAGACAGTGTCTTCTTTTTTCCCCCAAGACTCTAGAACTACTCTAGAAAGAAGTCCTAATTTAATAAATGCTATGGAGCTTCTAGTTGTGCTTCAGCCTTTGGCTCCGTGTGCTGTTTGAACAGAACAAAGCCTGGTGTGCAGAGCAAGAGTCCTGGGAGCAAAGTGTGATGAAGGCAACTTTAGATAGAAACAAACAGAAGCAAACATCCCAAGCAGGCATAGAGAAGATAGGGCACACACAATGCCAGCCTAGCTCCAGACCCCAGGCTACCCACCGGTTCCCTCCCACTATTCAACTCAGAGAACCACAGAGATGCATGCAGACAAGGCCTGGAACCTCTCCCATACAGCAGCAGGAACAATGTGTGTCGAGGCATTCTGAAAATGAGCACTGCTTTACAAATGGTACTGTTTAGAAAGTTTTCTTTATGGACTTAAATTTTTGACATCCTTAACTAAAGATCTGAATTTTTATCGTCGTGACTTATCTGTAATGTCAAAACCTTCAAGACGCTACTCAGAGCTGAGTAAACAGGTTTTGCTATGTGGCTAAGCAAAGCCTTCTGTGAATAACGACAACACTGAGAAGCAGGCAGGGCAAGAGATCCTGCACAAACCAGCTGAATGGAGTCCTTAGTGGTTAGCATTTCCTACAAGGCTTAGCAGCAACTATGGACAATATTACTTTGATTTTTTGTTGGTCTCTCTTAATCTCTGCATCCAGTTGCTTCTTCTTTTCGCTCTCTTCTCGGAGCCTCCGCTGCAGCTGCACTTTCTGGTATTTCAAGTGATCCACGTTCTGCTCCAGCTCGCTGGCACGCTTCTCATTTTGGATGGACAGTGACGCCAACTTCTTACTATCTTGCTGCTTCTTCTGTAAGACCTGAGACCACACGAAATATTCCAGAATGAGAAAGAGTGACACAGTATTTTCATTCAGCAGTAAGGGCAGCCATTTCCTCAGATTTACAGTTACTTTTGACTGGTTCACTAACACAAGCTTACTTTCTACACTTCTCATTTTGTAACTGAAGAAAACTTTGCACTTTCATCACCTATAGAAACAGAGTGATGAAACTTATGTGGCCAATCAGAGGAAACTCAATCTCTTTTACTTTTTTCAGAAGAATTCTAATCTCACGTACATGTGGCATAAAGTATTCTAGTTGCTGCCTAGTCTGCATTCTCCTTGCAATGTATTCTACAAACTATATCACACACACTCATGGAGGCACGGTGGCCCGTGTGTGTGTGTGTGTGTGTGTGTGTGTGTGTGTGTGTGTGTGTGTGTATATATATATATATATATATATATATACATATATAGGGAAATTAAAATATAAGTAGATTGTTTCCTCCCTCCAACCCTTCCCTTGCACTCCCACTTAATCTCTCTCCTCAAATTAATGGTCTCTATTTCTTTAATTACTGTTACATATATTACATATTAATTACTATATATATATATATATATATATATACACATATATAGTCCTAAATATATAAATGCAACCTGCTCAGTCTGTGTTACTTGTATGTGTGTATATATATATGTGTGTGTGTGTGTGTGTGTGTGTGTGTGTGTATGTATATGATATCAGAATTGACCGCCTGGCATTGACTGTCTGGTCAATTGGGAGATCTTCCCTAGGGAAGACTATTTTTGCCACTTTCAGTCATACAAGACTTTTTGATGAAGGAAGCTGTGTACTGATTGACTGTATTCCATTGCAAATCATGAACTAATACTGTGCAAACAGGTCCCACTGGCTTGGAGCCCACAGTGTGCTGGCTTTGCCACTTCCCATGACAATAGCAAAAATTAAAACACTAACATTTAGAGTGTTTTTCATATAATATTAAATATCAATGTGCCACATAATAAATTTATTTAAAAATCAGTCACAGCTGTCACTGAATTTTACATTTATTCCACAGGGGCTCAGAAGTACATCTTTATCAGCATTCTAGTACTAATGTAGAAAATAGCTCTCCATGAAGATGTAAAGTTTTTATAATTTAAAATTTTTAAGTTTTAGGGGGCTGGAGAGATGGCTAAGTGATTAAGAGCACTGACTGCTCTTCCAGAGGACCCGGGTTCAAATCCCAGTACCCACATGGCAGTTCACAACTGTCTGTAAAAGAGTCTGATACCCTCACACAGATATACATGCATCCAAAACACCAATGCACACAAAAATGAAAATAAATAATTTTTTAGATGTAAGTTTTAAAATGGAAACAAACTTTCATTGGAATAAAAATACTAGTATTTCAATATTCTAAAATGCATATTAGAGTACTGAAACTGGTGTCACTATTCTGCAACTCAGGTTGCAGCTCTTAACGTTGTGTCTTTCTTTGTAAAGTGCTGTCAAAACATCTAGCCCAGGGTGGTTATTAATGATCCATGTAAGCTATGGGTTTGAAGAGGGCATGCTGAAGATGCTGACTATGTCCAACACCAACCATCATCTCTCTCCCATCACATGTCAGAGGCAGGGAATTTCTAAAAGGGTGCATTTTGCTTCAGCCCTGTGATCAATCAGATGTTTTTTTCTGAAGTTCAGTTCTGTGTCTTTTTTCTTTCCTTTTAGTACCATCAGCAGAAAAGAATATACAGCAGAGAACAGGAAAAGCAAAATATGTTCAGCTATTCAGAACTTTATTACTGTTTTTTTTTTTTTTTAGTGGAACTATGTAATTTTTGTTTTTATTTTCAACAGATAAATGCCTGCTGCTATTTCTCTGGTGTGTTAGGACCTATCACTGTGGGAGATGAAGGAGGGACCAAGAGAGACCTTCCTTCCAGGGTTTCTAGTACCATCACCTTAAACATCCTCAAAACCAAACAGAACAGTAATAAAGCTCTCGGTAGGTCAATTATAACTCAGCTTTTACTACAATGAAGACAATATAAATGTTCCTGCAGTAAGAAAACAATAGATAGAATGGGGTGAAAAAGCTAGATATGATAGAGGGCCCCTTTAATCCAAGCACTCAAGAGGCTACGGCAGGAGGATGGTGAGGAAGCCAGTCTTGGCTACATAAGAAAATCCTGTTTCAAAACAGATGAAATAGATCAAAAAGGATTGCAAGAACACTCTAGAGTCTTCAAAGCAGCTGGAAATGACTTCCTTGCACAAAAAAACTTTCTGTACAGAACACTCTTACTGAATAGGATGTGCATGTGCATGTGTTTTCCCCTGGAATTGAACCTAGGGCCTTACACATACTCACTAAGCAACATGTCCAACCCCAGAAAAGACATTTTAACTCTTTCTGAAGTTCTATCTAAATCTAAAGCATTTGGAAATGAAGTCTACGCTGCAGAATTCAAAGTTCTTATCCTTTTAAAAACAATCAATTTTGGTCTCAAAAGCTGAACTAGTTTACATTTTCAGAGTGTCTTCAAAGTGCCACATTGGTACCTGATGTTTTATATGCACTGCTTAACTGCTAATCTTTTGTCCTTCAGAAAATGAAGAAAATTATACAACTTCTGTTATCTTTGTCTTACTATATATGATCTATGCCAAGATTAAATGTTATTGAATAAAGAAATACAGTACCCAGACTGTAAAATACATAATGAATACACTAGACAAAAGAAAATGTCATTCAGTTCTGATGACTAAAAACTGAATCCTACTTCTCTCAATAAAAGAATTTTCAAAGGAGAGACTTGTTTTCTTTTTGTGGTGCTAGAGACCAAAGTCAGGGTCTCACACACTCAAGGTGAGCACTCCACCACTGAGCTTCATCATCAGCCCCGCAGGAGTCAGAGCTAAGGAAGGATGGTTGGCAAGTGTACAGTGGAGCATGTCCTTAATCCCAGCACTCAGCAAAGAGAGTCTGTGAGTTCAAGACCAGACTGGGCAGGATAGCCACAGCTATAAATAAGACTCTGTCTCAAAAACACTAAACTACACAAACAAAAGGAAAAGTGATTTCATGAGTTTGCTTGATTGCACTTTGTAAGTTACCTGGACTCTCAGCTTTGCAGCATCCATCTTTTTACGGAACTCTCTCTGTAATTTTACCTTCAGAGCAACATCAGAAAGGTCTCTGCTTTCCAGTTCCTGTAGCTGCTTCTGGGTTTCAGTGACCTCCACTCTTGCCCGCTCAGCTTCATGCTCCAGTTTTGTTACCTTCAAAGAGTACTGTCTGCTCACACACTTGGCATTGTTACCTTCACCAAAACACAGTGGGAAGAAGAATTACAAACTACACCTCCAATCCTCTACTGTAAAACTCAGGTAATCCTTACCACCCAGCCTCATGACAGTTCCCATCCGATTCCAGCTGGTCTCTACACAGCCTTATCTTTTATGTTTTCATGTTCTACTTAAGAGCTATTTTTTGTGTGTGTCGACGCACACATGTGTGGTGTCCTCCGGGGCCAGAAGAGGCTATCCCATCCTCTGGAGCTGGAGTTACAAATGCTTGTGAGTTGTCCAGTTGGGTGCTGCGAACCAAATCCAGGTCTCCCCAGCCCTGGTGAGCTGTTTTTATCTTTTGAATTTGCAGCTGAAGCTTGCTGGCATCAAGCCTCAGTTAACACATGAGGAGGCTGGAGAGGTGGCTCAGTAGTTAGGGGTACTGGCTGCTCTTCCTAAAGACCCAGGTTCATCTCCCAGCACGCACATGGGAGCTCTACCACCCACAACTCTAGTTCCATGTGGCACACACATGCATGCAGGAAAAACATACACATACTTTAAAGAAAAAAAAAAAAGGTATTAGGAAGGACTTGTACTCTTATTTAGGAGATTTGAGCTCTGTGTTATTTATCATCTGTCTTATTTTTAAAATTTGCTATGAAATATTTTACCTAAGAAACTTTATTATAGTTGGTAGGATGAGAATATCTTTAATCTCAGCACTCAGGAGGCCAAGGCAGGCAGATCTCTTGAGTTTCAGGCCAGCCTGGCCTACAGAGAGAGTTCCAAGATAGTAAAGGCTACACACAAATATTCTGTCTTGAAAAACAAACAAAGAAAAAAAGCAAGGAAAAAGAAATGAAACCCCTTTGCTTAGGTTTAAGAGTTAATCAGTATTTGTAATAGCCATTCCATTTAAGCCTGGTTTTGCTTTGGTTTACTTCAATATGGGTCCCAGATATTTGTTGTTTGTTTTTGAGACAAGGTTTCACTATGTAACCCTGGCTGGCCAAATCTTTCTATATAGACCTGGTCTCAAACTCACAAAGACCCAGCTGTCTCTGCCTCGTCAGTGCCAGAATTAAAGGTGTTCCACCACACACAACTGCATCCCAGATGTTAGATCATCTCATTTATAGTAGTTGAAAAGCATCTGTATAAAGCACAGACATAACTAAAAGGTCTTTATCTCACCAACATGAGTGCCCACTGGTCCATACTCAGCCTTCCAACTTCAACATGTCTTTTTAAATGGCTTATTTTAATCAGGATCTAAATAAGGTTCAAAATATACCTGATTGTTTTATGTATTACAAATCCTTTCTTTAGATCTGGGTTCAGTAGCACATGCCTGTAATCCCTAGCACTTGGGGAGGTAGAGGCAGGTGGATCCCTGTGAATTAGAGGCCAGCCTGGTCTACAAAGTAAGGCCAGGACAGCCAAGGCTACACAGAGAAACTCTGTTTCAGAAAGAAAAGAAAGAAAGAAAGAAAGAAAGAAAGAAAGAAAGAAAGAAAGAAAGAAAGAAAGAAAGAGAGAGAAAAAGAAAGAGAGAGAGAAAGAAAGAAAGAGAGAGAGAAAGAAAGAGAGAAAGAAAGAAAGAAAGAGAGAAAGAAAGAGAGAGAAAGAAAGAGAGAAAGAGAGAGAGAGAAAGAGAAAGAGAGAGAGAGAAAGAAAGAAAGAGAAAGAAAGAGAGAAAGAGAAAGAAAGAGAGAGAGAAAGAAAGAAGGAAAGAAAGAGAGAAAGTAAGAAAGAGAGAGAGAAAGTAAGAAAGAGAAAGAAAGAAAGAAAAGAGGGAGGGAGGGAGGAAGGAAGGAAGAAGAAAGAAAGAAAGAAAGAAAGAAAGAAAGAAAGAAAGAAAGAAAGAAAGAAAGAAAGAAAGAAAGAAGAATCCTTTAACAAGAAAATGGCTCAGTGGGTAAAGGCACTGGCTGAGTTCAGTCCCTGGGACCCACATGATGAAAGAACTGATTCTCTCTACATGGATGCTGTAGCATGCATGGACACACACACAATAAGTAAGTATATTTAAAAAAAAAATTAAAGTATCCTTTAACACAGAGCTAACTATTCTCTTTTTTCATTTCATTGACGTAATTAAATATTTTTATTTTATTTACATTTATTTACCTACCTATTTATTTATTGTGTACTTCTGTGTGTGTGTCCCCAGTAGCACAAGTGGAGGGTGGAGGAGGGCTTACTTCCTTCTACAATGTGGGTCCTAAGAACTGAACTCAGGCCCTGGAGATGCCTGATTTCCGAGCTCCTAAGCTGTGTATGTTTCAGCCTTTCCCAGCTCCACAAACTTCTTTGTTGTTATCTCAGTAAATCTCAGCCGTTGCTTAAATTAGCAGAATCAATGCAACAGTTTTTAAAATATTTTCATTTTTTAAATAAAATGTAGTTCTTAACCTAAATGCATAGTGAGCTATCTTCTCATTCTAAACTTCTATAAATATATAACAATAATATATGCAACTAGAAGGCTGTCAGGCTAGCTCAGCAATAGAATATGTGCCTATCATTTATGAGGCCCTAGATTTAATCCCCATGTGCCCCCAATAAAGAAACTACACATAACAACAGTGTATTTTAGCAAACCTTAGATTGGTCATCAATTATTCAAAGACTAATATTTTATGAACCACTAATTTAAAAAAGAAGTCAAGGGCCAATTTTCTCGTGCTCGGTAGCTGCACTGTTATGGATTTATGACACACACAATGGCCAGGCATAGGATGGGGTGCACACCTTTACTCCATGCACTGGGAGCTTTGAATGAGAATGGCTGCCATAGGCTCATTTATTTGAATGCTTGGTCTGCAGTTGGTGGAAATGTCTGGGAAGGATTTGGAGGTATAGCCTTATTGGAGGAGGTGTCTCACTGGGGGTGAGCTTAGTGGTCTCAAAAGGTCACACCATTTTCAGTTTGCTTTCTCTGCCTGGTGATTGTGAATGGAGATGTGAACTCTCAGCTACTACTCCAGCACCATGGTGCCTGCCTGTTACTCTGCTCCCACCATGATGGTCATGGACTTACTTTCTGAAGTTGCAAGTCCCCGATTAAACACTTTTTTCTAAGTTGCCTTGGTCATGGTATCTCTTTAGAGCAAAATAAAAGTAGTAACTGAGATACCTGGGGAGTCAGAGGCAGGCAATAGATATCTATGATCTACAAAGTGAGACCCTGCTCAAAACAAAGAGACACATATTGATTTCATAAGATACTAAGGCATAAAAAGAATACTGAAACAGTATTGATGCCTCTGTTCTTATTAGTGGCAGGCATGAGTGCTGAGTGGGAGAAGAGTTCACTGAGAACACTAAAAGCAAGCATACACAATTCCTTTTACTAATCTCCATCTCTGAAGACCTTTAGGAAAGGCCCAGGCCATCCTTGGCCCTAAAGAGTAAAATGGTTTGTTGGTGTTACTAGCCCTTAAGATCTGGTTACACCTATCTTTGTTTTATAAACATACCTAAGACATATCTGATTGCTTGATTAAACAGCCTATACCTGGGCAGGGCAGAATGGGGTAGGCGTGGCTAAGGTTTCCAGGCTTTGGAATCATGGGAAATGGTTGGGAAGAGAGGAAGGAGGAAGATGCCATAATAGATTAACCTGAAGAAGAAATCTGAAGAATAAATGGAGGCAATACGAAGGACTCCAATAATGGCGTGAAAAGGCCCAGATAAAGAACAAAAGCAAGTATTTATAAGATTATGGACGGAAGATAGGATGGTTAAGAAGGATGGCATTGGATGTGGTCTGGGAGATGGATGTTGAGGATATTCAACAGCATAGGTACAAATACCTGCCTGGCCTAAGTTAAACAAGGCAATTAAAAAATAAAAAAGGTGGCTGTGTCTTATTATTAGTAGTAGCAGGTTAGATAATACCACTATGATAATCACAGGGCAAATAATAATTAAAAACATATAGCTCAATACTCATTTTTTTTAAATTTATTACAACTTGGATGCCTTCTGTTTTAAAGCAGTCATAGATGTACATAGCTACAAAAACGTATGTGCTCAGTGAGCTCCAGGGTGAGACAGTGACCCAAAAGACCATTTATTCCCGGAGGTAATAATTCAACCCTGAAACTGTGGGGATGCCACCACAGGCCGCACAGCTTGACCTCACTCCCACACAAAGGAGTATGTTTCTTCAGATCCCTTAAATGAGACCAGAGTTGTTTGCATTGGAATTAGGGAAAAAAAAAATGCAGGAATCTCTTCCACCTTCAATTCTTTGCTGAAGTTCAAAGTAGTCAGGGCTGAACATTTGAACATTTCTGAACATTTGAACATTTGAGACTCCTGGGAAGAAAAAGATCCAAACGCCCAAGTTTCCCTTGTTTCAGGCAAACCTAACCTGCCTGATGATGGGCATGGCATGCACCCCCAGCCTGACAAAGGGCAGACATGGGACAAGGGCTAAAATCTTGGTTTACCAAAGAAAATAACTCTTAAGAACAAATCTTTATATTTTCAGAGAAATAAAAATCACAGACAACTAAACTAGGCATGGTGGTGCACGCCTGTGATCCCAGTACTTGGGGAGGCAGAGGCAGGTGAGTTTCAGGCCAGCATCTATAAATCGAGTCCAGGACAGCCAGGGCTACACAGAAAAATCCTGTCTCAAAAAAATTTTTTTAAAAAAATTACCTACAAGTAAGGTACAATATTTAACGTTAACAATGAACTATCAGGCTGGGGATATAGCTAATTGGTAGAATACTTGTGCAGAGTGCTCAAATCCCTGGGTTCAATCCCAGTACAGAAAAAAAAAAAAATTAAAAGTGAACTCTCTAAGTCAACAATGACTAATAATTAAAAGTAATTATTCTTAGGAAATAACTTATTTGACAGCAGTTGCCCAGCACAGCAAACACCTAAGTTGCTTTTGCTTTAATTTTGTTATTACTGTTGTTTTATTTCAGAGGGAGTGTCATTATGTAGCCCAGGCTGCCCTGGAATTCACTACTTAGCCCACACTGGCCTCTAACTCACAGAAACCCTCCTCTTCCTCTAAAGTGCTGGGAACACAGAGGTGAGCCTCCCTCCCGCCCTACAGGAAAAAGGAAGGAATAGAATGTTCCTTTTAGGTATACACATTTAGTGCCACGACACTTCAGCCAGCACAGAGCTCACACTAGCTACAAAGCGAGTAGTGCACTCTCTGGCTCTGAGACACATCTGTTTAAATGCATTCGAGCTGCAGGGGGCAGTTGTGAGCTACAGACACTGGAGTGGGTGGCAGCACTTCCCGGGCAGTCTTGGCTGCTTTCTCACACAAGCACAAGGCACTTTTACCTGTTTTGATTAACTCTTTGATCAGATCTTCTTTCATCCTGATGTTAATCGTAAGCTCTCTCATTTTCTGTTTAGCTTTGTTAAGTATGAGTTCTGAAGTCCTTAGTTTTTGAAAATTTAACTCTTGACTCTCCTGGAGAGATTCCATCTTCAAATCTTTAAAATCAAAGACACAAAAATCCCAGTGTATAAAATACTCAACCGAAGTAGAATTTTAAAACAAAAACAGAACAAAAGCAATTTAAAGTGTCTTAGTTACTTTTCTATTGCTGTGACAAAACAACATGACCAATGCAATTAATAAAAGCTAGCATTGAATTTGGCTTACAGTTTCAGAGGGTTGGAGTCCATGACGTCAGAGCCAAGGCATGGCAGCAGGGACAGCCCAGAGCGCGTATGTTGACCCACAACCATGAAGCAGAGAGAATACTCTGGGAATGGTGGCAGGTTTTTGAATCCTCAAAATCTGTCCCCAGCAGCACTTTTCCATCAACAAGGTCACACCTCCTAATGCTTTCCAAACCATTCTACCAACTGGAGACCAAGTATTCAGATAAGCCTATGGGGCTGTTCTCATCTATGCCAGCACATAGAGTTAGCAGAAGGGCTCACAGGAAGGGAAGAACAGGAAGCTTGTACCGCAACTGACACCTAAAGTTCCAGCTTACAGGAAGTTCTTGGTTTAATAGTTTTTCATTTAGAATATACATCTTTATACATATAGCTATGCATATATTATTACCATACCCCATAAAGTTGGAAGAATGGTTATAGTTCCCTTTAACTACAGTTATTTCAGATGACTGTAACTATGAGAGCCTTTACATGGCTCCTCAGGAGTGTGCTGGAGCACTGTGTATCAGTGTCCGTCCGGAGCACACAAAGCACAATGTCTTGTTTGGTTACTTCCTTTTCCTAACTGGGCTTGTAAAGACCAGTGCATGCGCTCATGTACACTCTGGCCCGGGTTTCTTTTGTGGCTGCAGACCAGTAACAAATGAATCAAGGATAGCACTTGACTAGCACTTGTCACTACTATTTCTACATTTTGGTCTAATTTTTGGTAGCTATTACAAGCATCTGCTCTTGAAAGGATGTGTTTTCATAATTTGACACTTTTCATGTTAAATTCTGTATAATCTTACTTTTGTGTATTAACCCACTTATAGGTCAAAATGAGGAAAGCTAAACTATCTTATTGGAATAGCAGAAGTTATGGGCACATGCTGTTCTTGCAGAGGACCTGAGTTTGGTTCCCAGAGCCCACGCTGGGTGGCTCACAACTGTAACTTCAGCCCCAGGGGATTGAAAACTGGCCTCTGCAGGATTTGTGCTTATGTACACAAACCCACACAGAGACACATGATTTGGAAAAATAAAATCTGTATAAAAATACTGTTAGAATTGTGGCTATATAACTTCAGTTTTACAAGTCTTAATTAAAATATAATTACATCATACCCCTCCCTTTCCTCCCTTCTGCTCTCCCATGTTAACTTACTTCAACCCTTTCCATGCTCTGCCACTGCTGAACTTCATGGCTTCTTTTTCTTTGATTATGACTGTTATACATGTATCTCACATAACCGTTTTTAATAAAAACTCCAATCAGTTTGTTCCAGAACATTACTAGCACTAATTGGGCTTCAAGATGGTGACAAAGTCCCAAGTGCACAGAATCCAGCACACCCCCACAGTGCACTGTATGCTCAAAGTTTATGTCTCCAGCTAGAGCTGACTGCTAGAAACCTTTTATTTTTGTTTTTGAGACGGAGCTCTTTAAGTAACCCAGGGTTACCTCAAACTCTTCATCCTCCTGCCTCGGGGGCCTCAGTGCTGAGACTGCAGGTGTATAAGTACACTCAGGTTCTTTAAAATATTGAGGAAAACCGAGCAGTGGCACACACCTTTGGTCCCGGGACTTGGGAGGCAGAGGCAGGTGTATCTGTGAGTTCGAGGCTAGCCTGGTCTACAGAACAAGTTCCAGGACAGCCAGGGCTACACAGAGAAATCCTCCTGTCTAGAAAAAACAAAACAAAAGTCTGTTAAGGACTAATACTTTGGAACACTAGAGGCAGAACAGAGCTTATGATGTCAGCTCCATCAGCAGGAAAGCTCTGCTATGCACTTCTGGCTTTGAGAGGACCTGGGTACTCCTTAAATGACACTGAAAAACCAGCCCTACATCTTCGCTGTCTGAAGGACACCTACCTCCATTCCCCAGATAGGACCGCTGCACTTCATCCGGAGTATCACTCAGTTCAACAAGAGAGCAAACAGAGCCTGGCTTTTTGACCCACGAGTGACTTCTAGATCTAAAAAGAAAATATTTTTAGAAGATTAAGATTGATGGCAACTTCCTTGTTAGCATTTCCTAGACTCTCAAATTAGATCCTCCAAAAGAATGTTTTTAAATTTTAATGTTTTAATTCCTCCAGAATGTTTTTAAAAGGTAATTGTACAGAATAAGCAGATTTTACTAATATTTTTTAAAGTAATGGGATTACCTCCATCTTGGATCCAATGTTTGTAGCCACTGTGGCAGAGTACAGAAACAAACCAAACCAAACAAACCACCCCTTTGAAAGCTTAAGTCCAGTGGCTCAGTGGTTAAGAGCACTTGTTGCTCTTGCAGAGGGCCCAGGTGGCCACATGGCCACAAGCAATCATCTGTAACTTCAGGCTCAGAGAAGCTGAAGCCCTCTTCTTGCTTCTTAGACAAAGGCAGGCAGGTGGTACAAAGACATACATGTAGGCAAAATACTCATACACAGAAAATAAATAAAAATTTTGGCTCTGTTGCTCTCCTTGTGGAGTTCCTGGCCCCTCCAGGTCTTTCTATCTCCCCCTTCTTCCATAAGATTCCCTGCACTCTGGTCAAAGTTTGGCTAGGAGTCTCAGCATCTCCTTCGATACCCTGGTGGGTAGAGTCTTTCAGAGGCCCTCTGTGGTAGGCTCCTGTCCTATTCCTTGTCTTCTCCTACTTCCAATGCCTGTCCTGTTTGTCCTTCTGAATGAGGATTGAACATCTTACCCAGGGTCCTCCTTGTTGTTCAGCTTCTTTAGGACTATGATTTTAGTATATTTATCCTATATTTTATGGCTAATATCCACTTATAAGTAAGTATATACTATATGCATTTTTTGACTTCTGGGTTACCTCACTCAGGATGATCTTTTCTAGTTCCCACCACTTGCCTGCAAATTTCATGATTTCCTTGTTTTTAATTGCTGAGTAGTATTCTACTGTGTAAATGTACCACAGTTTCTGTATCCATTCTTAGTTGAGGGATATCTGGGTTGTTTCCAGATTCTGGCTATTATGAATAAAGCTGCTATGAACATAGTTGAGCAAATGCCCTTGCTGTATGGTTCAGCATCTTTCAGATATATGCCCAGGAGTGGTATAGCTGGATCTTGAGGTAGCACTATTCCTAATTTTCTGAGAAAGCACCAGATTGATTTCCAAAGTGGTTGTACAAGGTTACATTCCTACCAGCAATGGAAGAGACCAACAGAGCCAAAACACCTGGGCCCAGGGCGGCCTGCAGAGACTGATACTCTAACTAAGGACCATTCATGGAGATAACCTAGAACCCCTGCACAGATGTAGTCCATGGCAGCTCAGTCTCCAAGTGGGTTCCCTAGTAATGGAAACAGGGACTGTCTTTGACATGAACTCAGTGGCCGTCTCTTTGTTCACCTCCCACTGGGGGGTGCAGCCTTGCCAGGCCACAGAAGATGGTGATGCAGCTTGATAGGCTAGGGTCAGACAAAAGGGGAGGAGGTCATTCCCTATCAGTGGACTAGGGAAGAGGCAGAGGGGGAGAATGGGGAGAAGAGGGAAAGTAAGTGGGACTGGGAGGAGATGGGAGTGGGGGGCCAGAGCCAGGATACAAAGTGAATAAATTGTAATAAATAAACAAACAAACAAATAAATAAATAGAAAAATAAATACTAAAAAATTTTTAAAAATAAAAAACTGGGGCTGGAGAGGTGGCTCAGAGGTTAAGAGCACTGTCTGCTCTTCCAAAGGTCCTGAGTTCAATTCCCAGCAACTTCATGGTGGCTCACAACCATCTATAATGAGGTCTGGTGCCCTCTTCTGGCATGCGAGTGTACATGCAGACAGAGCATTGTATACATAATAAATAAATAAATCTAAAAAAAAAAAACCTGACTTATGTTCAAACACTATTTTTTTAATAAATTAAGATGACAGTTGATTTAGCAGGAACTACCCACTGCTTATTACATGGAAAAGGCAATACAATGAAAAGCCCACCAACAATATAATAATGCTTACCAAAGGGCGCTCTATGCAACATACCTAATTCTAGATTTCTCCTGGCCCTCTGATTCTTCGTCATCACTGTTGTCAGAAAACTGGCAGTGCAGAACTTCATCTTGCTCTTCTAAGTGACCCATCAGCATGTGACTTCGCGTTCGGAACCCAGCGAATACTTGATCCAGAGAGTATACAGGAGGACTTGAGTAGACCTTGCGAGTGATCCCCACCCAACAACAAAAGAGGTGACTCTTTAATGTCGACTTTTATCCTAGGGCTCACAACACTTTAGAGAGGATATTGGTAAGTACTCTTATGTAGCCAATCATTGAAAATATGCTCCCTGTAAAACGTCAAGATTAACTCCACAGGACCATTACACTTCACAGACACAAGTTTCAGACACTATACAGCCTTTTCTATTTTAAAGGATCAGTTTATGGAGAACAGTAGTCAAAAAGTCCTAGGGAGGCCTAGGACTTTTTCCTAGCGAGGAAAACATCCTCGCTTTCTGGCAGCGCTTGTGGTCCTCAGCAAAAGTGCTCATAACCACTGTCCCGGATTGAAGCTCTTGAGGAAGAGGGGCTACTGCAGGATGCACAGCCCCTCCATCCCAGTCCCAACACAGACAGTCTCACATCTGCACTCTCCCCGTTATGGCGGCATTCCAAACCTGGAAGCCAGTCTTGATACGTGCCAGTCTTGATACACAGTCACTCAGCCTTGATACGTGCAGAGGACAGACGTTGCTAATTAATGCAAATGAGACATTCAGTGTATATTATACAATAAGTAAATATTATAGGCCAGTTAGGAATATTATAACATCTCTACTAAAACAAAATGCCTTTTAAATGCTCAAAAATGACCTTGGAAACATGATGGAGTAGAAACAGCTTTTATATTTTTGTTCTAGGTTCTATTTCCAAATATTTCCTTGTCTGTCACCTCTCAGTAAGGAAACAACAGGGTGACTTCTCAAAAAGAAAGTAAATAATGAAGTCTTAAGGAGACGTGCAATGTGTTAGGGTGAATCACTGCCTAAGCTATTAAAACTGTAGTGTACAGAAAGGCATACAGTCTATGTATCACAGGTATTTAGCTGAGGAGCTATTGGCAGATGATGGGAAAGAGAATGTCACTTTTCTTGAGTGTGGCCACTGGTAAGTTCCATGCACTCCAGTGGGTGACCCCCTGCCCATGCACATACGGGCAACACTAACTGGACTTAGTGGATTAAATAAGTAAGTAATTATAAAAGGAGGACATGCAATTGGGAGGAAGATGTGACAGGGGTCCTGTGGGAAGTTGGAGAGGGAAAGAAAGAGATGGATGTTATTATATTCGTGTATGAAATTTCAAAGGAAAATGAAAACTTAAAAATTATAGTGGAGCCTTCACATACCATGATTCAAAAGTGTGTGCTTGGCACCAGTCCTTTCATCTGATTTCTGTGTTCCTACGCTTGGTCATCTAGTGGGACTGGCAACAATGAGGTGGACAGGTAGAAAAGTTTTCTAAGTGGGCTCCCAGTGCTGAAGACTGAGGCACAAGGGAGAAGGCACCCTGGCCCTTCCTTATAGCTCCCTTCTTTCTGTTTCACAGCCACTGACGAAATAAAGCTTTCCTGCCACATGCTCCTTGAACATGATATTCTACCTTACAAATGGCCTGGAACAAGAAGCCAAGCAGGCAAGGACTAAACCCCTACAGCCCATAAGCCAAAACAAAGCTTTCCTCCTTGGAGTTGCTTCTCTTGGATATTTGGCCACAGTGATGCAAAAGTCTGGTGTTCTTTTCTAGTAGTCAATGGAAATTAACCACATAGTCAACCGTAAAGAAAATGTTAGTAGTTTCCCAAAGCAAGATTGAAATTAGTAACTACAATGGTTTAACATGTAAAACCCAAGCATTTAAACTCGAAAAACTACAGGTAAGGACAGCATTTGTCTTACCGACCCTGATGCACCATGCCTGGGCTGTAACGGGTACCGTGGATGTACAGTGCTATGCTGGGCACTGGGCACTATCGCCGGAGAATGGGATGTGGCGGGTACCGTGGATGTACAGCGAGGATACAGCAGGGCAGCACTGTTGAGCCAGCACTCTCATAAACTCTGTACACCCCACCAGGGTCCCCATGCTTACCATAAGGAACCTGAGCTCACTTAGGTTCAGTTATAGCTAAACTTTCCTGACACAGTTTTCCCCTACCTACACCTTGCTGTTTCACCAATTTCTCAGTCTTCTGATTAACTTACTACATAGATCTCAAAAAAAAAAATTATATCCATTCATAACATTAGTAAGTAGAAACAAAAACTCAACCTGCTAGTTAGGTCATTTTCATAGTAAACTCTTTGATTTATTCCATACAAATCTACATTGTGGCTGGAAAGATGTGCAATGGTTAAGAGGACTGGTTGCTCTTGCAGAGGACCTGGATTTGGTTCCCAAAGCCTGCATGGCAGCTTACGACTGGACTCTGGTTCCAGAGGATCTGATGCCTTCTCCAGCTCACGGGGCACCAGGAAAGCACACGAGGTGCGTACACACACATAGGCAAAGCATCCATACATATAAGATAAAAATGTAAGAAAAATCTACAGACATATATTTACAAATAAAAATTAAAACCAATTTTCATATGATGCTTATGCCATCTTGACTGTCCAGTTGATAATGCCAAATGACACAGAAGTTTCACTTGAGAACAAAACCAATTAGATAAAACAAATAAATGCCACTGCCTGGCCTCACTTAATTTTGAGAGGTTACAGGGACAGGGTCTTGACACCATTAAACTAGCCATGTCTGAAAGCACAGCAGCAGGGGCAGCTTTTACTGGCTCAATATTCCCTCTAAACCTTTCTAGACATTCTCTTATTTACTAATTTTTATCTTTGAAATACTTAAAAGAAAATGTACATATGGAAGTGTCCATAAAACCAAAAGAAAAAAATAACTCCTAAGACTTTCCAAACACTCTGGGGTTGTAAGTATCTTTAAAGTCTCAAAAGAACTGAGGCTAATGCTTGACTCACCTGCTTGAAATCCTGTCTTGATGGGATATAGACATAGTGTCCCCAGTGATTATCAAATGGTACTGTGTGTGGTCTCTTTTCAGAGATCCTGGTATCAGGACCATCTCCACAACTTTCCTTAACTGAAGATGTCATCGACAAGTTAAACTTTGCCAATTCTCCACTCAGCTGGTCCACAAGAAGTTGCTGTTGTAGTATCTTTTCGTTCTTTGTAGAAGAGAGATGTTTCAGAAACAGAGAACCTCAGTACACATGTAATCATGAGTCAGAACTAAGTTGCACTGCCCAAAATCACAACTGCCTAAATGGCTCCTCATTATCTCTTTCCTCTGGTATCCATAAGTAACTAGTATTGAAACTAAAAGCTAAGACTATTTTTCTTCTTCAGGACTGGCATCAGATCCAGGGCTTTGTGCATACTACCACTGAGCCATATTCCCAACCCCAAACTTACTAAATAGTAAAAGCAGAAATAAGAAAAAAAAAAAAAACCTAAAAAATAATAATGCCCCATCCGCTGTGATTGGATAATTTGACACTGATTCTATTGAACTTTCTGCTAAAATACAAGATGTACTAGACAAGGCTGAAAAGCACAAAAGGTACTACACATAGAGATCACAGCAAGGGAGACAGAGCTCTACTTTCTCCAATCTCATCCAATATGCTACTTAAAACCTTAGCCAGAGTACTAAGACCAAAAGAGCAAATGAAAAGTACACAAATAGGAAAGGAACCCAGAAGGCAGATCTCTGAGAGTGCAAGGCCAGTCTGTCCTACAAATCAAGTTTCATGCCTGCTGGGGCTACAAAAGGCTCAAAAAAAAAAAAAAAAAAAAAAAAGGAAAAGGCAGAAGCCAAAGTGTCCTCACTGGCAGATGCTATACATGAGAGCCACCAGAAAACCAGAGCGGATACTCTCTAAGCACAGTGAGTGATACAATTAACATAAAAATATACTATGACAGGTACACTAGGAAGAAATCAGAGAAACTCTCTGCTTACAACAGCCTGATGCCAAAATAAAATAGCTTGGAATAAACCTACCCCAGGGTGTGAAAGACTTCCACAGTGAGAACCTTAAAATCTGAGGAAGACACTAAAAGATGGAAAGACTTCTCCTGTCATAGGTTAGAATGATCAATATTGTGACAATGTCCATCTTGCCAAAAAACAATTTATAGATTCAATGCAATACCAATCAAAACATCAGTGACATCACTCACAGAAATTGAGGGGAAAGTCTTAAAATTCATATGGAACCACAGAAGACCCAGAGACTCACAGGAACGAACGATGAGCAAAAATAAACAAACAAAAAAACAAAACAAAACAACAACACACATGGTTGAGTATTATCATGCCTGATTTCAGAGTTATAATACACACTCACAGTAACAAAGACCAATGTGGTACCAGATGCCAGCCAGTGGAATAGAACAGGGGACCTAGATTTACGTCCACACAACTTCAAACACCAGATATTGATTCTTTTGAGACTAAGTTTCCCTATGTACATTCCTGGCTAGCCTAGAACTCACTATGTAGACCAGGCTGGCCTCAAACTCACAGAGATCTACCTGGCTCTGCCTCCCACGTAAGCCATCATCAGTGATTCAACTGACTTTTGACAAAGATGTTCAAACAAACAAACAAACAAACAAACACTGTTGAAAAAAACAGCCCCTTCAATGGATAATGTTGGAAAAACTGGGTATCTAAAGTACCCTCCACAAAAATCAACTCCAAATGGGTCAAAGGCCTTAATGTAAAAGCTGCAAACACTGAAGCTTCCAAAAGAAAAGGTAGGATGAAGATACCTACGAGATAGAGGTGCAGAGAAGGACTTTCTAAAGTAGACTCCAGTTGCTCAAAGAGTACAATAATCAGCACCTGGTTCTCATGAAATTAGAATTCTTTTATAATGCTAAGGAAACTGTCACCTGTTCACCTCACCCAGGAAACAGAATCACTACATATCCATTAACTGATGAATGGGTAATGAAAATGTGGTGCCTACACACAGTTAGCTGAAAGAAGGTGAACTTCTCCAGCAAAGCAGATGCACCTGGAAAAGGTTATAGTGAATGAAGTAACCCACACATTATTATATGTGGATCCTAACTTCAAAACCTTCAGACTCATGCGTTCCAGTGGGAATGAAAACCTGGCACAGGATCCCTTATAGGTGAAGAAGGTGAGCTCTTCATGGGGGCGGGAAGAACAAAGTCACCTGTTATAAAGAAGAGGGAGGAATATTAGGGTTGAAAGACTGAAACAGGGGTGAAGGTATAGAGATTGGGAGAAGGAAGGCTGGAAAAAGGGCCAGCCAAAACTAAGAATATATGAAATTTATTATATAAGCTAACTAAAACCAAATAAAAATATTACTTAAGAAGCTTGAATGGAGAGTTGATAATATTGTCCCCCAGAGGACAATTTGCAAGCAAATATCCCTGTGCACTTACTGAACTTCTCTGTTTGTTATAGTGCTATAAAGTCTTTCCACAATACAACATTGCCACTGTTCTTGGTGACTCACCAAAACTAACGCTGAAGGCAATATGGTTGCGGAACAAAGAAATCTAGAACTAAACTGGATGCTCCAGCCTGTGGCCTAGCGCTCACACTGCCACAAGGTGTGGCTGTGAACCCTTTGTGCTATACCCTGACCTTCTGGGCAAGTATGTTTTGGGGTTAACCATTTGCTTTACAACTGGCTTACTCCATAGGAAGGAACGCACACCTAGTTCTGAAAACTTGGTCAACAGGCTGTGGCTGGGGAGGCCACAGGCCTCGGGAGAGAATGGACTGGTGATGTCTGCTAAGTGAATAAACTGCTTCTAAGTGTTAGCTGCTTTTTGCAGAAGGTGACAGTCACTGTGAGACTCAACTGTCACAGTGCGGAGAATTAGCGACTATGCTCAGCCCTAAACATGACATCTTTATCACCTCTCCATGGCCCAGGGAGCACCACAGATGGCAGGCTGGAAAGCTTATAAGAGCCAGAGAATGGAGAGGAGCACTAGGAAATCCCATATTCTAGATCCTACATCACATTAAAACCACAAACACAGAGCAGCTATGGTTACCTGCACAAGAGCTGCGTACACACACACACATACACACACACACACACACACACACAGACACAGAGTGTGTGAAGAAAGAAAGCTAGAGTGAGAAAGATAAGACACTGAATATGATCACAATATATTCTAAACATATACATAATTGTAAAATTTTAAATAAAATTTTTAAAAAGAAGAGAACAAATTACTCCTGTTTGAGGATAACAGATCTTTTAAAGATTCATGTGTGTATATGTTTTCCTACATGAATGTACATACTGCAGGTGACTGAGGAGGCTAGAGGGTGTCAGATCCCCTGGAACTGTAGTTACAGGCAATTGTGAGCTGCCTGATTCAGGTCTGGAAACCAAACCCAGGTCCTCTGAAGAGCAATGTGCGCTCTTCACCACTGAGCCATCTCTCCAGCACCAATATAATCTTATTTTTATATTTTTGCCTGTAAGCCTAGCCTTTAATGACTGAGCCATCTCTCCAACCCTATGATTTTTTTGAACTAAACATTCCACCAAAAATAACTTACTGAAAATGATAAATGAGTTCATTTGGGTTGCAGAATGCAAATAAATATATAAAAATGAGTAGAGCTTTTAAATACCAATAACAAAAATCCTGGATAAAAGCTAAGAAAATAATCTCAATTCATAGTAGCCACAAAAAAATTAAATATCACCAAAAAGTGAATAACCTCTACAATGAAAATGATAAGACTCCAATGAAAGAAACTAAAGGGGGAAGCCACCGATAAAATGGCCTTCCATGTTTGTGGACTGGAAGAACTAATCGTTAACATGCCACAGTACCCTCAGCAGGCAACAGAGTGAATAAACCCTTTCTTCCACAAGTTGCTTTTTCGTCACGATGTTTTGTTGCAGCAATAGAAACCCTAAGTAAGACAGACAGTACAAGTACACCCTGAAGAAAGGACAGTATTTTCAATAAATTGCCCTCAGGAAATTGGATATTCAGACAGAGAAGAAAGAAACTGGACCTCTGTCTCTGCTATACAAAGATTAATAAACAAAACAAAAACAGGGCAAGTATTTCAGAGCACTAGTCACACATCATTTTGTTTTATTTTTGTGACAGGATCTTACTTTGTAGTCCTGCCTGGCCAGAACTCCCTATGTACATCAGGCTGGCCTGGAACTCATTGTGCAAACTAGTCTGGCCTCGTTCTCTTAGAAATCGCTTACCTCTGCCTTCTGGGTACTAGGATTAAAGGGGTGGGCCACCATACTTGGCCCTGGGCAAACAATTTTAAATATGCAGGCATATCTGTGTTACTCATAGGAATTCCAAGATAAAGAATTTGAAAGACTTAACTAGAATCAAAGAACAAATCATTCATGTAGTATAAGAGGATAATATAAATTATAAAAGTCAAAGTTTTTCTGGAGGTGGGGCAGAGGCTGGTGTCAGGGTGGTGCACACCTTTAATCCCAGCACTCAGGAGGCAGGGGCAGACAGATCTCTATGTGTTTGAGGCCAGTCTGCTCTACAGAGTGAGTTCCAGGACAGCCACACAGAGAAACCGTTTTGAAAAGCTAAAAGAAAAGAAAAGAATAGTTGGGGGTTGGGGGGTAGAGAGATGGTTTAGAGCTTAAGAGCACTCGCTGTCCTTAGTTTAATTCCCAGCAACCACATGATACCTCCCAACCATCTATAATGAATCTGGTGCAATCATCTGGTGTACAGGTGTACATGCAGGCAGACCACTGTATATATAATAAATAAATCTTTTTTAAAAAAAGGAAAGAAAAAAAGAAAAAGATTTAGGGGTTAAAAAAAAGGGAATTATTTCAGTTGCCAGTGTCCACAGCTACCCACCTGAAACAGCTCTGTAAAGCACCAGTCTGTGGTTTGAGATGCTGGTCTGTGGTGCTGCATTTCCGGAGCTCTGTGCTCTAAGCCTTACCTGCAACCTATTCACTTTCTGTGCTTCTTTCAAAGATACAGCATGTTCTTTGTTCTCCTGCACCATCAGCTGCACTTGATTCCTTAGCTCCTCCATCTCCATCTCCTTCTGTGTGAATGCCACTTGATCGGCAGCCAGAGCACACTGGGAGGGAAAGAAGGCACAGAGCTCAGCAAATTCTCAAGAGAACTACATACAGAACAGTGTAAACTTCACAGTGACAGCTTGAAAAAACCGTGTAAGGTTTTCTTATCCTTTTCATTTTACCTTTTCTAGATTCTTTTTGAAGCAGGCAGAAATAAAGGGGCCGAAGGAATTACCATGAAAACTCTGCATGCAAACGGTGGTCCCATTCCATGGGAAGGAAGATGAGGAAGTCCTGGAACACCAGCCTCCATCTGTCTTCTTCCTGACAGAGTGGAACATGACCAGCTCCTCATGCTCCTGCCATCATGGTTGCCCTGTCATGATGGACTGTATACTCAAACCTTTAGCTAAAATAAACCCTCCTCTCTTCAGGTTGCTTTTGCAGGTACTCTGCCACAGCAACAAGAAAATAACTGGCAAGCAGTGCCTTTGCTGGGATGAACCTCATCACATGACCTGGTTTGCAAGAGGACTATGAAAGAGTTTGGAAAACTAAGGTTAAAAAAAAAAATACCTAGAATGCTATAACTTAGAGCTTAATGGGCCATTCTGGCGGCAGCAGTTTGATAGACCAGAATGCCAAAAGAAATGTGTTCCCAAAGAAGTGGAGACTTGATTGGCTTCAGAGGGAAACAGGGACTGATGTTTCCGGAACAGTTACAGGCTAACAAAGACTGCACTCTTTCCACAAGAACAAGGGTAGCATTTAGGCTATGGTACAGTTACCGCTCACTGCTCTTATCTGCCCTACAGTGAGAGAGAAAGCAACAAGCAGAGCATACACTTGTCGGGAAAATGTACTGTTTGGCAGGGAAAGAAATGAAAGTTATAGACAGGTGGCTAACAGAGCAGCTGTAATTGTTAGAGATTAGCACCATTAAAAACATTGCTTTGCACTGGGGAAAGAGGAAAGGCATCTTAATGGGAAGATTCCACCTAAGAAAAGCTCCATCTGGTGAGAATGAAAATTCATTTGAAAGAAGAGAGCCTAAACTGAGCCTGCTGTTGAAGGGGTTTCCTTCTAAAAACAACTACCTAGGGAATGTCTCATGGAGTCGGCACACGAGGTAAACACAACTGTGATACAAAGGAGCCAGGCTACACCTCAAGTAGCAGCAGAGCTTGGCAGCATTATCCAGGAGATACTGATTATGTAGGTATGGCAGATGTAAGAGTAAGGAGGCCACGAAGGCTTATACCAAGGTTTTAGAAAGCCAGTGATGACAGGCAATGTAGCAACACAGGCTGCCGTGCAACGGATCCCCGAGAGGACAACAGGTAAACCTGTGACAACTTAGGCAAAAACCTAAGTTATAATGGAACCCAAGGATACTGGAAATGCCAGAGTCATGGACACTGATTAAGGTAAGCTACAGACATGCAGTGGGACAAGTCTGAGAGAGCGGCCATCAGTCCTAGAGCAACAGAGCTGGAGAGTGGCTACCAAAGCCCTTTGTAGCCCAGATGCCAGACACGAAGCAGAACTGATTTTATCTTGCGCTCTACTGGCTCCTGTACCTAATCCTTCTTTAAAAGGGGGTTGCAGTAAGGTGGCTTAGTGGGTAAAGGCATCTGCTACTACACCTGAAAACGGGAGTTCAATCCCTGGGAACTACATGGTAGAAGACAAGTGATTCTTGGAAGCTATACCTATACACTCATTGTGGTACACACACAAATAAATCTAATTATTTAAATGTGAGCAGATACATTTGAACTAAATATATATCCATGTAATATGTATGCATGTACTCACCCACACTGTTTAAAAATCAAGTACGTAGACAGCTGTAGTGACACACACCTTGTCTTTAATCCCAGAAAATAATAAAATACCCCAAATAAAAATATATAAATATATTTATAATATACAATGTAAATAAATAAATGTATAATCCAAACTCAAGGAATAAAGTATTGTCTTCTTTCACGAACTACAGTGGGCACCCTAGGGATGTATTGGTGGAGTGCCTACCTATGCTGTGCAAAGCCCTCAGTTTGATTTCCACAGTAAAACTTGGTGTGGCTGACATAATCCTATAATCTCAGCAGTGGAAGGTAGAGGAAGAAAGATCACAAGTTCAAGGATGGGAGGCAGAGGCAGGCCAATCTCTGTGAGTTCCAGGACAGCCAAGGCTGTTACACAGAGAAATCCTGTCTCAAAAACAAAAACAACAACAACAAAGAAGTTCAAGGCCATCCTGAGCTATATGGCAAGGAGGCCAACCCGGGCTTTATAAAATTCTTTCTCAAAAACAAACAAACAAAAAACACGGACCCATAAGCCAGACATGTTGACTCACACCTGTAATCCCAATTCTTGGGAAACTGAGGCAGAAGATTACTCCGAGTTCAAGGAAAGACTAGAATATTGATGGAGTTCCTGGGGTATTGTATGAGACTGTCTCAGAGAGAGAGAGAGACAGAGAGACAGAGACAGAAAGAGACAGACAGAGAGGAAAAAGGCAGGAAAGGAGACAGACAGACAGATAGACAGGACTGAGGATGCAGCTTGGTAATACAGTGCATGCCTAGCACCACTCTAAGCCTTGGGTTTAAGCTCACAAACACACATGGAAAGGAAGCAAACTCAGAGAAATATAATTTAATTTTGTTTGTAAAACTGTTTCTTTGATCTTCTCAATAGCTATGAAAGTTCATAAGACTCTATTTAATAAATATGATACCTTAAAATATACTTTGATCACCTCATAGGAGAGAGAAAAGAAACTAACAAAGAATAAATTTGAGGAAGAATAGGAAATGAGACATATCAATGACAAGATGAAAGGCAAGTGAGGTTTGTATATAATTCTTTCCTTTTTTGTTCTTAAAAACAGGTTCTCACTCTGTAGCCCTGGCTGGACTAGATCTCACTGTATAGACCAGGATGGCGTAGATATCACAGAGGTTGACCTGCCTCCCAAGTGGTAGGGTTAAAGAAGTGTCCCAACACACCCACCTAATTTTTATATAATTCTTAAAAGAGAAAAACACTCCCCAAAGTTGTCCTCTGACCTCTGCAAATACACGCCTGCACACAGACCATTCACATACCACACACACACAGTAAGAAATATATCTTTTTAAATTCAGAACTTCTGAAATTCCAGGATCACTTTTAGAATTTACTTGTCCAAATGAATGTAGTCCTTAAACATAAACAAGTGCTGTCTATGAGCCAGGTGTAAGAGCTCATACCAGTAACTCAACATAGGAAGCAGAGGCAAGAGGACTGCCCTGAGTTCAAGGCCAGCCTGGGCACATGAGTTCCAGACCAGCCTGGACAAGAGACTGAGACTTTATTTCAAAGAAGACAAAGTGGATCTGGAGCTCTATCAGAAGTTGATACTTTCCTAGTATATGCAAGGCCGTGTGTTCAATGCCCATCACCACCAGAGGGGTGGGAGTTCTCTTAGTGGAGGGACCACACCCTCCTGTAATCCCAGCAACAAGAATCAAAGGATGGAGTCCAGGCCGTCCTGGCTGGTCTACTTACTGAGTTCCAACCAGGCTTCCACTGCAATACACAGTCTAAAACCACAGTAGCTAATCAGTAATGTCTCAGTACCTGGTATTTCTTAAGCTCTCTCTTCAGCTGGAGAACTGTCACATGCTGGGTTCCTTCTTCCAGGTTCCCAGTGCCCTGGTTTCCTGGGAATGGGGAGAGGGCAGCCTTCCTGACTTCCTGAGTCCTGCTAAACCACTCCTGTAGCTTGTGGTGCTGTTTCTGGTTTAGCCTGACTGCATCTTTTAAGTCTACTAGGAAGGTGAACGCTTGCTCTATGCAGTCCTGGTAACCCAGACATTCCTCCTGCAGCTGAGCCACCTGCTCCTCCAGAGACTGGATCCGATTCTGGTCAGGCACAACCTCTGAAGGGGTCTGGCTAGTCTGGCTGATACTGGCCTGATGGCTCTGCAAAGCTTCTCGAAGCAACTTAATCTCAAATTCCATCTCATCCATTCGGTCTGAATCAGGGCTGAAGTTTAAAGTAGGCTTGTTTCTAATGTTCCGTGCTCTGTTGGCATATTTGAGAGAATTTAAGGACTCATCAAAATCTGAGGAGGATGGGCTGACACACGTGATCATGACAGTCTTGGCACTGCCTCCCAGGGAATCTTTCAGAAGCCGGGTAATTTTAGCATCCCTGTATGGAATATGAGAGCTCTTCCTGCGCGGGTCCCCAAGGGCACTTATGACGTTTCCTAAAGCAAGCAGCCCACTGTTGATCTGAATGGACTCTTTGAATCGCTCACCAGTATTCCCAGTTTTGGTCACTCTTTCTGATCCAGCCAAATCCACAAAATGGAATTTGGAGACAATATGCCGACGTGAATACCACTCTCCACCTTCAGCTGCCTCTGTACTTTTCTCGACTTGGCAAACACTTATTGTGAAAATGGCATGTGACCTACTGGAGTGCTGGTTCATCTGGGTGGTACTTGTGTGCCTGGCCGCATTCCCTACCTCCAGCAGACTCATCACTTCATCCGCGCTCTCTACTTGGCATTCCTTGGCCCCAACAATCACTTAAAACAGAAAGTTTTAAAATCAAGTTCTCATCAAAATCCAGTACAATTAATCACACAACAGTTACCCTTTGCTAAGCAACCCCCAAAAATGGTTTCTTTAAAAAAAAAAAAGCAGTAATGTTTCAAATAATATTAATATCAGTATCATTAATATAATTTCAGAAAGCCCCAACAGGAATGGTTTTAAGAAACAGGACTTATGTTTAAACTCTAAAGGATGTATTTTATTTGTTAAGATACAATTGTTGCTTTTAATCAATCATCATATTTAGTCTTTAAAATGACTGACAAACATGTGAGGCCCTGGGCTCAAGCTCCAGACTCAAGGAAAACAAAGCAAAATAGGAAGAACACTTTGTTTCAGTACTTTAATTTGTAATTATTATAAGAAATACAAGGAGCGATGCCTGGCAGACAAACTTGTGAGGCAGGATTAAAAGTTCAAAGCCAGCCTGAAAAAAAAAAAAAAACAAGCTCAAGGCTAATCTAGAAAATTTATACTGAGATATCCCAAAGTCTATTAAAATTAAAAATGAAGCAAGAAGGCTGGGGATGGAATTCGGTGGCACAACACTTTCCTAGCACTGGATAGGTTTCTAGCATGGCAAAGCAAGTATATGAATAAAAAGTAAAAACAAATTGTGCATACTTTTTTTAATTCTTGGAATACTGACACGTTTTTTTGAGATGCTAATGAAGGCACACAATAATTTCTCTAAGTACTTCACCTGTGTTTCCCTTCTCATCTTCTCGGATGTGAAGGCCCTTCATAGAAGTCTCCAGCTCTAGAAGATCTCTTAGGTCTTCCTTATACACTTCTATATATGACACTTTGATTTTAAAGTCAATGCTAGGATTTTCAGAGATGCTCTGAAATATTTCTTGGATAGCTCGAGGAATGATACCCTTTTGACCCTCCACAACTGATGCTGAAAAGTTAGAAAGAGAAAGAAAAACGGAGTCTTAAAACATAAGAAAGCTACAATCTGAAATGTATGCTTTTCTTACATTTTCTTTTCTTTTTTCTGTTTCTGATAGATTGGATGTGACATATGAAAGAAAGCAATGAGTCAAGCTGACTCCAGGATTTTGTTTAGAGTCACTGGAGTTCCCAGTGATGAGTGCTCTGGTTGGCTGGAGAAAATGACAGTACATTTTTCTTCAGTATACTTTTCTTACATTTCTATTCTAACAATTTAAAACTGGGCAGGCATGGTAGCACACACCTTTAAACACAGCACTCAAGAGACACAGGCATCCTGGCTGGTCACATACTAAGTTCCAGTCAGTTACAGAGCAAAACAGAGCCTCAAAAAGTATATTACTTAATTGAATTTAGCCAGGACTACACCATACAACCATAAAATTCAGGGGTCAAAAGGCTGGGGGCATGGGTCATCAGGTCAGAGCATTGCTGCATAGGCACAAGGGCCCGAGGTGGGATCCAGCACCCATGGAAGAAGTCAGGCACGGCACATGGGCAGTCAGGAGGACCACTGGGGTTTGATGGTTGCCAGCCTAGCTCCAGACTCAGTGAAAGACCCTGTCTCAAGGAGATAGAGGTGAGAGCACTGCAGCAGGACACTCGACATCCTCCTCTGGCCTCCACATGTGATTGCACAGACACAAAAGCATACACACATGCATGTGCAGTACCATGCACATATGCCTACACACAAAACATTCAGGCAAACTTTTCATATGTATCCCTTATGCAGAATGTATTCATTTAGCAACTATGTCCTCAGGGTTTACTACATACAAATGCAATATGTAAATTATATGGTATATTATAATGCTGGTATACACCTAAAACTCAATTGGGGTGCTGAGATATGAGGGCTGAGAATTCATAGCCAATCCGGGCTATAGAGCAAGGCTACTTCAGAAATAGACAAACATGAATAAGTTCAAGTCAACAGGAACAGAAAGAGCACTTGGAGGGCGGGGTATAGAGACCTAAGTGGGACTGTAACTGTCATTCTAACTATGAAGGCCATGAGCAAACCCTGAAAGTGTGCAAGAACACTCCCTGAAGGCTCTAACTGATGCCGTCACAAACAAGGCCAGCACAGCCAGAACCGGGAGCAAGAGCACACAAGAAATGAGGTCAGAGGGGTACCACACGTTAGATCATGGAGTCCTTGTAGACTGCTCTACATTTGGAGTCATCCTGGCTGAGGTCAAAGCCACAGGGTGGAGCTGTAACATGATGGTCTGAAATCTCACAGAGACTGTTCTCATTGCTGTCTTCTGCTGGAGCATGAGGGGAGAGACCACTTCAGGGGCTCCTATAGTGTTCTGAGGGATTTGGAAGATAAATGTAACAGGTCCTGACATGGTATCAGGATGGAACCTGGATTTATGCTGAGGAGCCACTAAGGGTTTCTGTCAACTGCATGTGACAGCACACACCTAGGAGCTGAGAAGGGTTAGTAAGACTTTGAGGCCAGCCCAATCTACATAGTAAGGCCTTATCCTCTCAGGCTTGGGGAGCACATGGAAGGATGAAGGGGCTGAAGAGATGGCTCTTTGGTTAAAAGCATTTGCTGCTCTTCCAAAGGACCCAGGTTCAGTTGCCAGCACCCATTTAACTCTAGTCCCAGGGGATCTAATACCCTTTTCTGGACTCCACTGGCACCTGGCAACCACATGACTCACAACCATCTATAATGTGATCTGATGCCCTCTTCTGACATGCAGGTGTACATGCAGATAGAGCACTCATACATGTAAAATAAAATCTTTTTTTTTTTTTTTTTAAGCAGATTGGGAAGTTTCTGATAGACTGGATGTGACATATGAAAGAAAGCAATGAGTCAAGCTGACTCCAGGATTTTGTTTAGAGTCACTGGAGTTCCCAGTGATGAGTGTTCTGGTTGGTTGGAGAAAATTACAGTACATGTTTCTAACCCATCCAGGCAGTTGGTGTGAGTCCTCAAAGCTTTCCTGGGCTGAGGGAAACAACTGACAGTCATCTACGTACAGACAGCACATAATGTAATGAGGCTGGCTGTACCCACTAAGGACAAGAGCTCTTTAAAAAGAGAATGGGGTGGGGAGGGGGAGCCAAAAACTGCGCTTTAGAGCACTTCACTTACTAGGTTCACTCCAGAGCCCCTAAGGGAGGACTAGAAAAGTAGGAGAAAAAACCAGGAATGTGGTCGGTTACCTGGCAACTGAGTGGATAATGTGCTAATGGGCCCATTGAGGTAGAAATAAGAACTGACCATGGGATTAGCAGAGTGAGCATCATTTAGTCTCAACCAATGCAATCCCAACGTCTGTAGAGGTCTGAACAGACTGAGTTTAAGAAAGAATGGGGGTTGGGCTGGGGAATGGATTTAGTCACAGATGACAGCATCAGGTCCTGAGGCAAATTAATTTAAAAATCAGTTTCAAGGGGCTAGGGATGTAGCTCACTTGAGTGTTTGCTAGTGTGCATGAAGCTTTGGGTTGGAGTTTGAGCACATCACGAATCAGACACAGTTCTGCACTCAGCACCAGGAGGTGGAGGGAAGAGGATCAGAAGTTCAAAGTCATCCTTGACCACACAGTGCATTCAAGGCCAGCTTGGCTTAAGGCTATATATCTGAAAAATAAATTTAAAAATCCCTTATTCCCAAAAGTTGCCCTTCGCCCTCCACTCATATGCCATGACATGCTCCTGCAATAATAAATTTTAAAAATTAAAGCTATACATGGGCATATATTTTTTTCTATAAAAAATTATAATAGCACAGAAAATTATCCTCTACACTGACAAATTATGTAAAATTAAAATTTCTATCATATAGCAAAGGAGTGAACAGAGTACAGGATTAGAAAATATCTTCCTCGACTACAACACACGGGTATTAATATCTGGAATACACAGAGAGTTTCAGAAATGACCCCATCAATAAATGGATCAGTGAACAGAACAGACAGTTCTCAATAGAAGACTCTGTTGGAACAGCAAATGCTGGTGAGGATACAGACAGCATGGAGCCCTGCACACTGTTGGTGGGACACCAACTAGTCCAAACACCTTGGAAATCAGAAAACAAATGACAGTTTTAGAGCTGGCTCCATCACTAAAGGCACTTCTGCTTTTCCAGAGGGACCTGAGTTTGATTGTCAGTGCCCAGACGGCAGGTCACAACAACCTGTAACCCCAGTTTCAGGGGAGCCAATGCCCTGGAGTTAGAAAATTATGTGATGCAGCATGTAACAAGAAGCAGGAGTGGGACCTGACTAGAGGAGGAGAGGGATCAGCTGGGGAGAATGGAGCTTGAGAGAGGGTAGTGAGGGAGGCCAATGACTGAGAAGAAAACATAATGGCATATGTATAGGAAGAGGCCAGGAGGAAACCTATTATTTTGAATGCTAACCTCAAAAATAATTTTATGCTGGGCACAGTGGCACACACCTTTAATCTCAGCACTCAGGAGGCAGAGGCAGGAGAATCTCTGTGAGTTAGAGGCCAACCTGGTCTACAGAGTGAGTTCCAGGACAGCCAAGGCTACACGCAGAGAAACCCTGTGTCCAAAAAAAAAATTTAAAGGCTATAACAGGACAAAGCCTACTGACTCATACCTACAAACTCAAGTGTAAATAGGGCTGACGCAAAGGAATCCTAATCTCAAGGATGACTTGGGCTACAGGGTGTGTTTAAAGCCAGCATGGGCAACTGAGTGACTCTTTCCCTTACAAGAAAAATGTAAAAAGAAGGCTAGCGGTACAGCTCAGTGTATGGTGCATAGCCAGCAACCTAGTTCTTTTGTTGTTGTTGTTTTTGTTTTTTGAGACAGGGTTTCTCTGTATAGCCTTATCTGTCCTATAACTCACTCTGTAGACCAGGCTGGTCTTGAACTCACATAGATCCACCTGCCTCTGCCTCCCTAATGCCGGGACTAAAGGCATGCACCACCACCGCCTGGCCCAGTAACCTAGTTCTATTTCCAGTACAATAAAAACAAGACAAAGTTAAAAATGTTAAGGTCTGCGATGGACTCAGACAGATGGCTGTACAGCAGTGTTTGCTGCAGCTAAAACAGGAGACAGGCCAGAGCCAAGTGTTCGTCAGCAGAGTGAAAGTCAAGTAAAGCACAATAGTGCTGCCATTTCTTACAGTCCTGGTACACACTGTGCTAACGTAGAACTTGGGAATCTTACCAACATGGCCTCCTCCAATGGTGTACGTCTTCCCAGATCCAGTCTGTCCGTACGCAAACACCGTTGCATTATAGCCCTCGATGAGTGACAACACCAGGGGCTTTATGCATGTATTATAAACTTCATCTTGGGTGGAATTTTTGCCAAAAACAAAATCAAAAGTAAAAACTCTATCTCTCCCAATGATAATCTGCTGGGTGTTGGGCACGTCCCTCACACACACTTGATGATTATGAAGAACTTCTTTGCAAAGCAGAGGTCTAATTCGTACAGCAACTTTTACTGGTATTTCTTCCATGGCAGCCTGAACTTTACTGATTAGATTATCTCTTTAATGTTCAGTAACAGTGTGAGAAGCATCCATTTTATGTAAGATCTGGACTCCTGCACATCAAAATAAAGATATATTTTAATTACTGGTTCTATTAATGCAATAAAAACTCATGTTTCAAAGCAAAGCCATTTAGAGCAGATTCATCACAAGTACAAGTTATATTACAAAGAGTTTATCTGACTTGTAAAGCGCTTCAGTAAATTAATGATGAAAAGATTCAGCATTTAGGCTTGCTTCAAAATAGCTGAGGAGACTGGGGACCCTAAACTGGTTAATTATAAAGCTATAAAGGGTTCCACTGTGTATTTCTAGAATGGTGATGTTTCCTATTTCACTAATCTAGATAATCAATACTCACAGAGTTAAGAAATCCAGGCGAGGAAATAACTGAGGAGTTATAAACGTGTTAAAAGTAAAGACTTGGGAAAGTGCTGAGATGGCTCATTGGTTAAGATCACTTACTGCTCTTCCAGGACTCTGGTTCAATTACCTGCACCCACATCAGGCAGCTCACAATTGCCTGTAATTCCAGTTCCTGCACAGACAGAGTACATACCAACTCATGCAAGCACACACATATACACATATAAATGCATTTCAGCCATACAGTGGTGGCACACACCTTTAATGCCAGCACTTGGGAAGCAGAGGCAGGTGGATCTCTGAGTTTGAGGCCAGCCTGGTCTACTCAGTGAGTTCCAGCCAGGTCTACACAAGAAAACCCTGTCTTGAGAAACATAGATAGATAGATAGATAGATAGATAGATAGATAGATAGATAGATAGCACCCTAAAAAGCTTGGGGATGTAGTCTTTGCAACACTCATTGTACAGATTACATCACTTTTTTTGGTTTTTTGAGACAGGGTTTCTCTGTGTAGCCATGGCTGTCCTGGACTTGCTTTGTAGGCCAGGCTGGCCTCAAACTCAAGAGAATCTACCGGCCTCTGCCTCCCGGAGTGCTAGGATGACAGGTGCGTGCTATTGTGCCCAGCACTTTTTTTTTTTTTTTTTTTTTTTTTAATATCATCTCAGTCAGTAAGACAAAAGTCATGGTCTGGGTCAGTGAGAAGACTCAGCAGCAAAAGCAGTTGTGGCCACATGCCTGATAACCTGAATTCAATCTCTGGAACCCACACAGTAGCAGTAAAGAACTGACAGTTGTAAATTCTCCTCTGACCTCCACATGCTCACACTCTCACACACACACATAAAAATTACTTTTAAAAAGATTATGGTGTATGTTAAGATGATCCCAAATTCTTTCGTTAACTTGCTAATTTAAGAATACACGTTGGCCTAGTGGTGGTGGCTTAAGCCTTTAATCCCAGCAGTGGGGAGGTAGAGGCAGGGGGATCTCTGTGAGTTTGAGGCCAGCTTGGTCTACAGCTCGAGTTTCAGAACAGCAAGGGCTACACGAAGAAACCCTGTCTTGAAAAACAAACAAGTAAGAATTTAAAAACAAAACTGTAATTGGAGTGTTTTCCCTGCGTTGGTTTTTATGAAGGCAAAGTTGACATAAGTAGTGTGGTCATATAAGCAGTTAGAATTCACTTATTGTAATCATAAAAACAATGGTGCATAACTATATGGTTCATAAGCAATATTCAGTAAATTTTTAAAAGCCTGTATGTGACAGTTATTTTTCAGATTCAGTTTAGTCCTGTGTACTGTCAGATATAAATTAAAAAAAAAATCAGCAGGGAAATCTGATTGGCTGGTAATATTTTGAGACACCCACTGAGTTTTGAAATGTGACCAAATGCAATGTAAGCCCTGGGCCTCCTGCCTTGCCACTTGCCAGGAATGGGATCTTCAAATACCTGCTTCCCGGGCTGTGGCGGGAGTGTAGAAGTTGTGCTCTGCGGGCTGTCAGTTCTCTCCCAGCAGATAAGGATGTTCGCAGCATCTCACGAAGGCATAAAGGAGCCTGAGTGCGAGCCCGGAAACAGACCCGGGCCGGCGGCGGGCACCGTCCCTCAGCGTCCCGCCGCCCGAGGCTTCCCTCGCCAGGACAGGCTCGCGGCGGCGTCCTCCTCACGCCTGCCGCGGCCGCGCGCCCCGCCGCCCTCCGCCCCGAGCCCCCAGCCCCGCCGCTACCTCAGGACGCCCGCTCCGTCCGCCGCTCGCCCGCCCGCCGCGTCCGCGACTCTCAGCGGGGCCGCCGCAGGCCGGGTGCCGCCGGCTTCGCGCCCGTCGGGCCCGCGGCGCACCGTCCGGCTCGGGACAGCCCAGATCTTCGCAGGCCACTGCCCCACGCCGCGGCCTTCCTCCGCCCCGCCCCGCCGCGCCCACGCCTTTTGTTGTCACCAGTTCTCACGGCAACGGCGCAGCACGCCTCCCGCCGCCCCCCTCTGGCTCCGCCCCAAGATGGCTCCGCCCCAAGCTGTCCCCGCCCTACGTAGGCCTGGGTCCGCGCAAAAGCCGCCAGCAAGACTCCGCCCCGCCCCGCCCCGCGTCTCCGCCCAGCCCCAGGGCTCCGCCCCGCGGCCGCCCTTAGTGGAGTCCCCATCTGTGCCTCTAGACCTCAGGCGCCTTCTCTGAACATCCCAGTAAACACACACAGGATATGAGAAAGGTTCGAAATGAGTTTCATTACCCAGCTGCGAGCTCAGGTATCTCGTTTTTGAGACAGGGTCTTATGTGGCCCAGGCTACCGTGAGCTTCTCGGATTCTCCTGCCCTTACTTCTGAGTCCTAGGACCCCAGGCGCTGTGCTGGAGACTGAAACCGAGGGCTTCCTCTGAGCTAGGCCAGACTGTAGACCCTGACCTGGTGAGTGGTGAACAGCTATGATTCTCAACACTTTGGAGACCCTGGCAAGAAGACTGAGGTCAGCCAGATCTGCATAATGTTGCCCTCTCAGGAATGAAAAGGGGTTTGGGTGGGACAATGGCTTTAAACTTTGACCTGTTCCATTAACAGATAAATCTGAAAACCCAACATAGTGGCTCAAGTGTGAGGCAGTGTGGAAAAAAAGAAAAAAGAAAAGAAATTTGCTATATGACTCAATAAATAAGTACATAAATGAAAGCAAGTTTTCACCAAAGTCTCTAGCTCTGATCTTATTCTAACTTTTCTTGATGCTGACTACAACCCCTGAATGGGTTCCATTGGTACAAAAGGGTGCAGTATAAGCGACGGAGCGTGTGCCTAGAATGTACAAGACACAGCTCACTCCCCAGGACTTCCTCAGACACCGGTTTCATAACGCAGTGAAAGAATGCAACCTGCGCTTGAATGTATTTTGATCTTCAGTGAAAACCTAGCTGAAGATGGATCAGATAAGACATTATTTCCTAGACAACAGTTATTGCTGTAACCATGGTGTCTTGGGGTTGATATCGCTGTGATGAAACACCACGATCTGAAACAACTTGGTGAGGAAATGAAACTGAAACGGTTTACTTGGCTTACTACATATCCTGATTCACAATCCATTGAGGGAAGAAGCCAGTGCAGGAAATCAAACTGAGCAGGAGGAACCTGGAGACAGGAGCCGATGCTGAGGCCATGGAAGGGTGCTGCTGAGTGATGGGCTTGCTCAGCCTTTCTTACAGAAACGGGGACTACCAGGTCAAGTGGGACCACCCACAATGGGCTTGGTCCTCCCTCATCAATCACTAATTAAGAAAATGCCCTACAGGCTTGCCCACAGACAGTCTTATGGATTTATTTTCTCAGTTGGTTTTCTCCTGTCATATAAGTTTTCTTTTGTGTCCAGTTGATTTACAACTTACACTTGGGTTCAGATATGCTGTTGGGACATGCCTAGTTGTTTCATTAAGCATCTAGAATCTGTCCTTGAAGAAATAATGGGACACCTGCTCTCTTTCCTTTCTTTTACCTCCTGGTCATGAGGTAAACAGTTAGCTCCTATACAGACTGGCTGCTATGTTGTGCTGCCTGACCACAGTTCAAAGCAGCAGTGGTACCAACTGGCTATGGACTTCCTCTGTGAGCCAGAGTAAACCAACTCTCTTTGTTGTCTTGCAAGACCTGGGGTCTCAGGAATTCAAGATCGCGCCCTTCCCAGGAATTCCCACAGACCACAACTCGATGCAAAAGCAAGAGGTTTTTTTTTTTTATTCCAATCACGATAGGGTCGCCCCTCCAAAGGCAGGAGATGACCCCAAGTATGCAAAGCACAGGGTTTTTATACTTAAAAATCTGGCCACTTTTGCTCTATACGTTGATCGGTCAGCAAGAATATCATGAAGATAGTTTACAGCTAGCTGTTTGCAATTTTTGGCCGTTTGTGAGTTTTCTCAAAACAACTCACCCTGCCCTTTGAGAGCTATCTGCCTCTGGCTTCAATTCAAGGCTATCTCGGAGCAGTTCATCCTGTCATTCCAGAGCTACGTGCCTCTGGCTTTAATTCAAGGATGGGAATAGTCACAGCTGTTTTTCTTTTACCGTTGTTTTCATTCTCGGTGGGCCCTCAGTCTCCGTAAGTTGTCTTTGGCATTGTCCTTGTTACTGCTCGGTTGCTGTGATGAGACAGCACGACTGAAGCAACTATTATATAAGAAATTGTTTAATGGGGGACTGGCACACAGTTTCAGAGGGTTAGTCCATTATTATCATGGCAGGGGCCACAGTGGCAGGCAGCCGTGGCAGTGGAGCAGAAGCTGAGAGGTTGCGGGTGGAGAGGATGAGACTGGCCCTTACAGAGGCCAAAAAGTACTTGTGCACACAGCTGGGCACCGGAGAAGCTGCAAAAGTTAAACATGCAGACATCCTTTAAAAGAAGGAGATGTTTAACCTGTTTTCCTCCTGGAATGCTGAGAAGGGATGTAGTTTACAACCTGGTTGGTCCTTTGATGAGCCAGGCTCCATCATACTTCCAGAATTGATGTCTTACTTATCCCAGACCATATCCCCCTAAAATCTTGAGTATTACTTCTGGGCCTTAAAACCCATCCTTAAGAGTGATGTCACTTGTAGTTTACAACAGCCTGAGTGACTGTTATCTTAGGGCCAGGCCAATCCTGACACCCACAGGCATTGTGTTTACTTCAAGCGCTCTAGACCAGTAGTTCTCAACCTGTGGGTAGTGACCCCTTGAAGGACTCTTTCACAGGGGCTGCCTATTAGATATTATTTACATTATAATTCATAACAGCAGCAAAATTATACCTATGAAGCACCAACAAAAAGAATTTTATGGTTTGGGGTCACCACAACATGAGGAACTATATTAAAAAGTCGTAGAATTAGGAAGGTTGAGAACCACTCCCCTAAACCCTAAATCTTCGGCACTACTTTTGAGACAACAGTACCCCTCTTTGTGAAAGACACCAGATATGCTTTGTAAAGAATCTCAGTGTAAACATGTGTTGTGCACTAGGGGATGAGTTGTAGTCAGAAAACTTTTTCTCCCCCACCCCCCCAAATTGTGCTGTGCTTAAATTGGCCAAAGAATCTCATGTCAGACTCGAAATCCTGGTGTGGCACTGGTACCCAAAACCCCATCTGAACAGTTTCATTCTTGTCTCTCTGTGGGTCACTTTCCCTGACTGCTATAGAGCGAACAGAGACCTCTCCAGGCCTTGGCATGGGCTTTTGAAACCTCAAAGCCCACCACGATGACACACTTCCTCCAACAAGACCATACCTGCTAATCTCTCCCAAACCATTCCACCAACTGGGTACAAAGCATTCAGTGAGCCTATGGGGCTTGTCCTCATTCAAATCACCACAGATATTTTGCTACAGTAACAGAAGGGTGACTGAGACATTACCCTCCTATTGTGTTTAGAACCTACTGCTGAGCAACAAATCACCCTGAAAGTTGGTGGCTTGAAATGACATACAGTTCTTACAGTTTGAGTCTCGAACCTGGGAATGATTCAGCTGCGTCCTGACTCGGGGCCTCACAAAGGTCCTGGTGATCTGTCTCAACCTGTTTGGTTGCAACCCTTTGGGGGTAGAATGACCCTTTCTTTGGCAGGGGTTCCCTAAGACCATCGGAAAACAAGTTATTTATGATTCATAATAGTGGCAAAATTACAGTTATGAAGTAGCATCAAATAATTTTATGGTTGGAGGTCACCATAACAAGAGGAACATTGTTAAAGGGTCACAGCATCAGGAAGGTTAAGAACGACTGCTCTAGAGCATAGATCAAATTAAGTGGAGAAAAGTCCCTGATAATATAATAGAATGCCTTCTGTGATAATAATGACAATAATAATAATGCCTTTTAGACATACAAATAACTTAGTTGGAAACTCCACTACACCCAATGCTGTACCTGATAACCAGAACCCAGTGACACCATTTACTCAAGGTAACCTTACACACAACTGTGTAAGCAAAGAATCCTATGATGGGATTGCTTATATACACTTGACAGTATATAAGCAGAGACTAAGATGTATCGTTCTCCACCCCTTCATGACTGCTGGAGACCCTGAAGAGATGACAGGCTGATCTGCCCCGCTATGAGGAGTGTCCCCTGGGATTCTCACCCTTGAACTGGAGGCTACTGCTAAGACTAGACCTGAGCTCCAGCTGAGATATATCACACAGGTGAGCAGCCATGGGAAGAGAGGCATAGGCTCACATTAGGCACACGAAGTGAGAACCTCAAAATAATAAAATATAATCTTAACTTACACCAACTGATCGTACCTACCTTCTTGCTCACAACACCTTCCCCCTGAGAAATCACCCATCCACTTAGAGATTAAGTAAGGAAAACCTTTATAACAGTGCTTTGTCGGCTGGGCCAGCACTCAACGGAGAGCTGTGTGTTCAACAGAGTTTACTAAATTATGTACATATGCGGCATATGTGTGCCACAAACACTGTCATCCTTGCGTCTCTTTCAGATCCTGGCCCCAGGTTACACTCTGAACAATTTAAACAAAAATGGAACTAAAGGTCTGGCTACTTATGCAGATAGGAGGTTTATGCAGTAAAGATAAATTACTGCAATTATTTTAACTACACCAGTGTCACTTTTTTCAAATAGCTGTTATGAGGGAGGATAGTTACCTTGCTTGAGTTGCCCTAAAGGTATGTTTTTGGTATGGGAATCAGGCTCTAACGGCTGGTCAATCCCAGCTCGTAAGCATTCACTCCCTACCTTTCCCTTGTCTCTAGCAGGCCTGGTTAGTATGCTACTTACATCTGGGGTGTTGAGAATGTGTTAGGCTTCAGACTCAGCACAAGAGGCTGAGGTGCCTTTTGAGCCAAAGTGGACCTGGCCTCCAGGTTCTCCTAGCACCCCTCCATCTCTACCTGTACAGGGCCTGGATGGCAAGCCCCACCCTCTACCCCGAACTCTCCAGGCCAGGGCAGGGCTTCCTCGCTCCTACAGGCTATTTACTATGCAATCCAGACATTTTGGTTCCCTTCTCTTTCTGCACTCTCCTTTCCCTCTCCTCTTTCTGTATGTACCACTTTCTCTCTGGCCCCTCCCAGATGGGAGCTTCCCCCAATACATCTGCATTTAACTGTAATCTGGCTTGAACTGCCTCCTTGCGTAGGTGGAAGAATGCTTATCAGGATGCAGTGCTCCTTCAGCTAAATATCCTTTGTGGGACTTACTGTCTCCTAAGCAAATCTATTAGTAAATCCTTTATAATAGCAATTTTTATTTCTTTGAGTTTCTTCTGTCAATAAGATTGTAAGTAAGGTGAAAACTGGGGGCCAAGGCCACCTCATGATTAACTCAAGAGGATCTGCAATTCCAATGAGGTTTAAAAACACTTAGGCTAACAGATATTCGAAACTGAAAAGCCGTTATGTCAAAAACTCACTACTATTACCAATAAAAAGCACAAAATAAAACTCCAACATTGATCTTTTTTCTTTTTTTTCTAAGACAAGGTCTTGGGGGTGGTGAGGTGACAGTGAATCTGGGAGAAGTTGGGGGCAAATGAGGAGGTATGATCAAAGTACATGTATAAAATTCTCAATGAATTAATTAAAATGCTGTCTTAAAGAGAATACAGGTCTTAGGTTTTCTGGGTTGGCCTATATGGCTGAGGCTGATGATGGTCAGCGTCTGGCCTTCCTGACTCCATGCAGTGCTGGGATGACTGGCACACAGCACCACACACTTGGTTCCGGACAGTGCTGGAAACGGAACTCAGGACCTTTTGCATGGTAGCAAACACTCCATCAACTGCACTGCACCGTAGCCCTATTTTTTTAAAGACCTTTTACATATGTGGATGTGCACATGTGTGGGGATGATGGTAGAGGCCAGCAGAGCGCTAGATCTCTCGTAGAGTTAGAGTTACCAGTAGCTGTGAGTGCCCAATGGGTGTGGTGCCAGTGCTCATGGGAAGCAAACTCATGTCCTCCACAGGAGATGAAAATGCTCTGAACTGGAGAGGCATCTCTTTAGCACTTATTTTTGTTTTTGAAGTGGTCCAGGACGGACTAGAACTCAGGATCCTCCAGCTCCCACCTTCTGAGCACTAGGATGACATGTATGTGCCACCATACCAACATTCACAATTGATTTTTATAAAGCAATAGTTTATATACCAAAGACTATTTATTTAGCATTAAATTATTACAGCATATAGAAAAGAACTAATCTGGGAGTGTGACTCAGTGTTAGAACACTTGCATAGCACATACAAGGTCACAGGGTTGGTCCCTGGACCATAAAAAAAAAAAAAAAAGAAAATACAAATGACCAGTTGAGAAAAGCTACCAACTGAAGACATGGATATTATTGAAGATTATACAACATGATTATGGGAATACACTATAATATATCAAGAAAAAACGAAGAACAGAGACTGGGCAGTCAATTTTCTATTCCTGGGGGCTGGAGAGATGGCTCAGAGGTTAAGAGAACTGCTTGCTCTTCCAGAGGTCCTGAGTTCAAGTCCCAGAAACCACATGGTGGCTCACAACCATTTATAATGAAATTTGGTGCCCTCTTCTGGCGTGTAGGTGTATATGCAAGCAGAACATTGTATACATAATTAAATAAATCTTTAAAAAAAAAAATTTCTATTCCTGTACTTTCTTTTTTCTTTTTTCTTTTTTTTTTTTTTTTTTTTGTTTTTCAAGACAGGGCTTCTTCGTGCAACCTGGCTGTCCTGTCCTGGAGCTCGCTCTGTAGAAAAAGGCTGGCCTTGAACTCACAGAGATCCACCTGCCTCTGGGTCCTGATTGCTGGAATTAAAGGCATGTGCCACCACGCCCAGTCTAATTTCTATCTTTATATCAAATCAAAGTTGTGCAAATGACTGTGTGATCTAAAAGTGCAAGTGTTTCCACTGCGTCTATTTCCTTTCAGGGTCAGTAGTAGATGCAGCGTGTGCGATGAAACGGGATTCCTTTCATGTCTGCCCTGTGATCTCGGGCGTAGTCCCATAAGTGGTAATCCAGAAGAACAGAATTGATCTCACCAACAGGTTTTTCACCTCTTTTTTCAAGAAGCTCCAAAAGACAATCCCGGATCAGCTCGACACACCAAATCGAGCAACCTCTAATTTCCACCTCTAGTTTATCTCCATTTAAAAGCATTTCTCCTGCAAGAATTAAGAGGCAAAGAAAAAAATCATTTGGAAACCTAGGTGTTCATGTAAAATTATCAATTAAATTCACAGTGACAGAAGCTGTGTCTGGCTTGCTTGTCTCAATACGCCCAGGACCTAGTATTACACTTTGCACATATGAGTTCTTCAAATAAATTCGCTAAATGAAGGTATGGTACCCCTAGCCCCTTTAAAAGACTTTTTTTCTTGAAACAGTCCCACCAGTAACTCTGGCTGGCCTGTAACTCACTATGTAGACCAGGTTGGCCTAGAACTCGCAAAGATCTGTTTGCTTCTACCCACCAAGTGCTGGGACTAACGGTGTGCAACATGACGCCGGGTCAGGAGTAAGACTTCATAAGACACGACTCAGAACTAAACCATAGAGACACAGCTCGTTTAAGCAAAAAAGCATCCTCACAGGTTTCCTCACTCAAGCACTGTGTGCAGGAGCTTCATTCCAGAGCCACTTATCAAAGCTGTGTGCTGGTCTCACACGAGGGAAGCACTGACACCAACAGATGCCACAGGAATAAGAGGCCAACCATACAATCCTTTTCTGCTGCTGTCTCCTCCGGACATCTGGCTGTCCAAACGGGACAAAAGAAACTGGAGGGAAGTTCTGGAGAAAACTCTGCTTTGCTTTGCCCAGCCCAGCTGAGACTTCAGAAGGAGCGAGTGAGGACTTCCCCAGGTACAGAAAGCAGGGCTGGCTGTGCACTGAGCCCAGCGGGAGGCCACTGATGACACCGTGACTGGATCTAGATGCACGGTGGCCCACAGCTGGACCCAAAACATAAACACAACATTGAATCTAAAGTAACTACCATGTTTTCATGAATAATTTGTCTCTGAGTTAACCGTCTGCTTTCAGCAAAAGCGGGAGGATGAAGTGCGTCCACATCTCTGCACAGCTTGCTGGTCAAATCTGGCTTTCTTCATTCTACGGTGTTTCTTCAGGGTCACCTACTGAGCTGTGGAGCTGACTGAGTCACTCCTTTCATCCTTGTTCTTAGAGTAAGAGGGTGGTTTTGACAGAAATTAATTTGTTTTTGTTCTTCATCTAAACTTTGAGGCAGAACACCTTTTGGTATACTGAAGAATGTTTATCAAGATTTGTGGATCATTCTTTAAACCAAATGAAATACTTTCTTGGAGTTTTTGATAGTTCTGAAGTTAATTTAGTCTTCGTTTCAGAGTATTTTCTTTTCTGAAAAGAATAAAGTAGATTCTTCCAAAACTTCCACAAAGTTCTTTTCCAATTTCTTGACCACCTTCTTTCACTCATATTTCAGGCTTATTGTTGAAAAGATTCACCAAAAAGTGAGCTTGTATTTTTTTAAACTTAGCTCCTTCCCTTCAAAAATATGATTAAGAATAGCATCATCTCCTTCTAACAGACCCTCCGGCACCTAGTCTTTCAGTTCCAGTTTTTCTGTCATGGCCATCCTTTCTGGGAACCTCCAGCACCTAGCACCTAGTCTTCTTTCAGTTCCAGTTTAGCCATCATGGCCATCCTTTCTGGTGTTATGCATTATGAAGCTGGACAAGCCTGAACTAGATGGGAAATGGAGGCAGGCTACTCTGATGCGCCCACTCAGGCTCCAACAGATGCTGCTCAGGCCCTGGGCTCTGGGCAGGGCCATTCAGGGTACAGGAAGTCTGAGGCACATTCAGCCTCTAACCTCAAGTAATGCTGCTCTCTCCAGCATCCTTGCTGCTTGCCCAGTAGGAGAACACAGACTAATGGGGTTTTCTTTCACTTCCTTTGCCCCAGAGGCTGACATGGAAATCCAAGCCTCCTTTACTGTTAATCAAGTCCTTCAATCTGAACTATCATTCAAAAAACTGCCAACCAGGGGAGTAACCCCAAGGCAAATCCACCACCTAAGCAGATGCACTAGATTAGACCGCTGCCCCAGCCAACACGTGACTGCAGCCTTGACCAGAGGAACCCAGCCAGGCAGAACTGGGGTTCCTGAACCACAGAAACTGCAATAGAAGAATTTTCTTGTTTTAGCCATTGAATGTGGGCATAATTTGTTACCCAGTACATTCAGTAATGGGTTGAACTTGTTCTCTGTGAATGTGACTTCACTGGAAAACAGGCAGGAGCTAGGCATGGTGGTGCAGGTCTATAGTCCTGGTTACCTGGGAGGCTGTGACAGAAGGCTGAAAACCTGAGGCCACCCTGGCTACACATGAGACCTTGTTGCAAAACAGATTGGCTCAATTTAGGTGAAGGCCCACACATCTACATACATGCTTACACACATAGATACACATGATAAATAAAAACATAAGGTACCCAATAATTAATCACTCGGTACAGGACATGACATTACAATTCAGCGGCCTGTTCTTTCAAACGAAGACATGTTGATGATTATTAATATTTAATAATGATTTATCTTTTAGTTAAACAGCAGTTATTCTAAACCAGCTGTATACCCAAATCACCACACAGAGACTAGGATTTATCTAATTAACCTAGAGCATAATGCTGGGCAATAGTTACTCCATCTTAAACCTCCAAGCCTGCATAGCTTCCTCCCATTCAGATTTCCTACAGTATACTTGCTTTTAGTCATATCTTAGGTCCAATTTATTTCTCCTGATGTTTCCCAGTCATCTCCTCTCGGAGCACTCCTCTCCTCCAGACCAGGATGTCCCACCCTATTCTCTCCATTGCTTAGCATTGGCTGCTTGTTTTTATTAGCAATACAGAGAACAAATGGTAGCATGTTTACACAAATTTGAAACAGGTCCGGATTGAAACCAGATAGTTGCGTAGAGAAGTCAGCATTTGAAGGAACAAGGGTAAATTTTACACATTCCACAAGAACATTATTACCAACAAAGACACAGAAATAGAAAGGACTGCGTAAGCCTTTACCTGGTGAACCTTAGACGGATAATAACTTTATGTTTATTTTACAAGAAAAAATAATTCAAGTATAAAAACTACTTTTTAAAAAAAATAAACTAACAAATTCCTCTACCTAAGAAATAAATTAACATGACACTGATATTCAGTCATTTTTCTTTTAAAAAGAAGTCACTTCACATAAACTTCTCAACCTAACTTACCTAATCTAACAAGATGCCAAGACTTATGTCTGTACCTATCCCAATCATGATAAACAGGTAAGCCTAGGAAAGATAATTCGGTGGCAGACCCGAAGTCTCTCGACTCAAAATCCCAGGCATACCACTTGTCTCTGATTCCTTTATAGCACACCATAATTTACTCAGCTCAATTAACACACATTAATCACTACACCTATTTCACACATCTCCATGTAACAAATTTGGTTTCATTTATCAAGCTCTAAAATTAAAATGTAAACTGAATTTTCAATAATGTCCACCTTTCACAGTGCAAACAAGAAAAGCCATTTCCACTAAGCAGTGGGGGCACATGCCTTAATCCTAGCACTTAGGAGGCAGAGGCAGATGAAGCTCTGTGAGTTGGAAGCCAGCCTGGCCCTACAGAGTGAGCTCTAGGACACTAAGGCTATACAAAGGGACCCTGTTTCAAAAAAAAAAAAAAAAAAAAAAAGAAAAGAAAAGAAAAGAAAAGCCATTTTCTTTACATTTCTGTTACTCTTACATATTTCACATATTTCATTATTTGTTGTTGTTTTGTTTTGTTTTGAGACAGGGTTTCTCTGTGTAGCCTTGGCTATCCTGGAACTTGCTCTATAAACCAGGCTGGCCTCGAACTCTGAGATCTGCCTGCTTATGCCTCCTGAGTGCTGGGATCAAAGAAAGGTGTACACCATCCCCCGGCTTCATTATTCTTATACATACACTTTTTTTCTTTTCTTTTGTTTTTCTGATCAGGGTCTCACTATGTAGCCCTGGCTGTCGTGTATCTCTCTATGGCAACTAGTCTGGCCTTGAACTCACAGAAACCCTCCTTCCTCCATCTCCAGGGGCTAGGATTAAAAGTGAGTGACGTCATGGCCTGCTCTTCTTTTTTTAAATCATAGGATCTCTCTTTGTAGCCTAAGCTGCTCTGGAACTCACTACCTCCTCCTCTTTCTCTTCAGTGCAAGAAGCCACCACCACACCCAGCACACACTGTCTCAACACCTGTGCTTTGCTTTCTAAGCAAAAGAGAGCTGTTTGTAAATAAAACTAAACAGATTCAGCAACAGGCCAGAGAACAGCAAACACAATTCGAGGCTGCAAACCTTTGAGAAGCTTCCGCAGTAAGTCTTCGGAGTATTTCAGGGCTCCAAGGTGAACAAGGATCTGAGGCAGTCTGTAATCGGCAAACATGGTGATGCTGGAGATGTCATCAAAGCAGCCATCCCCCTTTCCTTCCAACACACTCCATGTGTCTGCCACGAGAATCTGCGCGCGTTTGTAAAAGGCGACCCTTTCCCCCTGGTGATTGGAGAACACACGTCACTGTGCTTTCTGAAATCTTAATGCATACTATTTAAAAAGGGCACTTGTTGAAAACGTTTCTTTCTTTCTTCTTGTTTTTTTGTTTTTGTTTTTGTTTTTGTTTTTCAAACAGGGTCTTATGGGGCCTTGACTGTCCTAGAAGTCACTCTGTAGACCAGGCTGGTCTCTACCTCCTGGGATTCAAAGTGTGTGCTACTATGCCTGGCAACAAAAAATTTAATTATCTAATTAACATTACCACTACAAAGATGAAGTCAGGAAGATCAGCCCTCTCTCTGTAAAATGGTCTGTCCTGCCCCCAAATGCCTCAAATGTATAGTAGTATAGATAGACTATGGAAAAATACTGATAATTAAAATCTATTCCTAGTCTTAATACCTGTGATGGTTTGAACAGGAATGGCCCCATAGACTCATGAGTGTGAACGCTTGGCCCATAGGGAGGGGCACTATCAGGAGGTGTGGCCTTGTTGGAGGAAGTGTGTCACTGGGGGGGGAGGGGGGCTTTGAGGTCTCCTATGCTCACGCTATGCCCAGTGTGGCCCTCTCCTGCTGCCTGCAGATCAAGATGTAGAACCCTCAGCTGCTTCTCCAGCACCATGTCTGCCTGCATGCAGCCATGCTTCCTGCCATGTGGGTAACAGACTATGCCTTTGAACTGTAAGCCAGCTCCCCAATTAAATGTTTTTCTTTCTAAGAGTTGCAGTGGTCACAGTGTCTCTTTACAGCAATAAAACTCCAAGACAATACCAATGGTTATAATCTCAATTTGTATTTTATAACAGCTTATCTACTGAGAAGAATCAATAACGAGCTCTCAAAATGTAACACTACGACCTCAGAGAACACCTTGGTTAGCAAATACCATAAGTAAGTAACTTTTTGTGTGTGACAAGATCACTGGACGTAGCCTGGCTGTCCTGGAGCTCAATCCTCCTGTCTCCCAACTGCTGAGGTCAGACCTGTGCGCCACCGCACATCCTCCAAGAAAAACTCCCACTGGGAAACTCCACAAGAGGGCTAGGGAGCACTGCTCAGTGGCAGGGGGCTTATTGAGCGTCCCAGAGTCCCTGATTTGGCCCCAACTTTACAAACACAAAGAAGAAAAAACATCTAAAGGAGAGGTGAAGACAGCTCACCAGGGAAAGGCGCTGAGCTCAGTCCCCAAGCACCACAGAGGGGAGAAAGAACTGACTCCTAAAGGCTTTTCTCTGACATGCACAAGGGTGCCATGGAGGCCGTGTGCACGCACACCCACGCACACTCACGCACACCACACACACACACACAGTGAAAATGTAAAAAAAACCTGAGTAAAATTTAAACACCTAGAAAATGATGTCATATAAAAATACTCCATCATAATGAGAAATAACCAATTACCTAACTATTGGTAATTTACCTGGGCTATCGATTCCCACCTACTTTTACGAAATTAACATCCCTAAAGGCACTCTTAGGTAATCTGGGGTGGGAGGAGGCTGGTTCCCAGCACCCACACGGTGGTTCACAACCACTTCTAACTCCTGTTCCTGGGGATCCTGGGCATCCTCTTCTGAACTCCCTGGGTTCTAGGCATGCCCAGGTGACACACATACACAGGCAATCAAAATATTCATACAGAAAATAAACGCATCGGGGAGAGGGAAGGAGGGTTGTTAAATTCCTTACCATGCAGTAGGCATGGCTCATGTGTGTGAGCTGAGAGCTCATAGCTCACACACAGAAAACACATAAATCAAAACCAAAAGCATATTCAGCAACAGGATTCCAAAAGAATCCAATCTAGTGTGTTCTGGAAGCATAGAACAAATGCTTGTCATTTAAAAGGTACGTTCGACATTCTGATTTTCATCCAACTTTGTGAACTTTTTGTGCTTTTTATCCCCGAGTGACAGCATTATATGGAGGGCTGAAACATTTTCAAGGAATAAAAGACGAAATAAAGGAGATCCCTGACTGGAAAACATAAAAAGTATTGGATCTGATTTTGTTACTTCTTCTTGTCCACAGTAAACAGACCTCAAATTTTAAGTTGCTAGCCTTCAAACTGGCTCTGGGGGGAAAGCACTAACTCAGAATTATGACTTCTAAAATCCCCGAGCAACAAACTCACCTCAAATTGTGCCTCATCTCTGTAAGAAGGAAAATTGTCAACAACCAGGTTCATTAACTTCTGTGCACTTTTTTCACTTTTTCGGACACAATTAAGAAAAGAGCCTCCAAACTTCTCCAGCAGAATTTTCCCAGTTTCATTGAGAATCCTATGCCTGTCTTCTATTAAAGGCATGGGCTCGTCTGTGTCTGAGCGAAATATATTCCGAACCTGATCAAGTGTCACTGTGGCATAGTAGGAGGCGCTAGTTACTGGTATCCCTTTAAAGAGAAAATTCAGAGATTTTTAGAAGCTGCAAATAATATGAAATCAAATTCGTGTTAAAGATTCAGCGTGGGGTGCTGGCCTAATATAAGCACTCAGGAGCCGGTTAGATGGTGGCCCGTCCCCGTGAGTTCAGAAGGCCAGGCCAGGGCTACTCAGTGAGAACGTCTTAAAAAAAAAAAAAAAAAAATCAGGGCTGGAGACGTGGCTTAGCAGGTAGGTACATGCAGTAGCCTTTCTTTCGGAGGACCAGGGTTCAATTCCCAGTTACCTTCTGTAACTGCATGCAGTCTGGGGGAATAGACACCCTGTTTGAGGAGTGGGCACTGCATGCACACAGGCAAAACACACGTACAAATAAAATAAATAGCCAAATGAGTGCTCCAGACATGCACCAAAGGTGCGCAAACAACGATATTAAATACACCCCCACATACATACGCACACACACATTTTGCTCTGTGTACTTACTCAACCACCACTCAGGACAGCAATGTGACATAAATATTTTTCTTGCATAAAACGTCCTATAATTTGTCCTTTTCTTCTTCAGGTGGCATTCATTTTTCATTTGTTTTTCTGTGTTTTTCGCTTTCTATGACTGACTGTGTTCTGAAACTATGCAGCTCAAGGGTGGCCTAGAACCCATAGTGATCCTCCTGCCTCAGGCTGGAGTGCTGACCGGATTGTAGGCGGGAGCCAGTATGCCCAACTTAAAAAAAGTGACATTGTTTAGAAAACTGGCTTTGCCACCTCGGCTGACTGGCATACATGGCTTCTGTCGGGCTTTTGCTTTAGGCACCCGGGCAGCAGGTGCGAAGGGCGGCACCCACCTTGGTCGAGCGCCCGGTTAACGGCGGCGCACAAAGCCCAGTAGCCGGTGTACGCCGTCCCGCCGTACCGCACCTCACACTTGCGCTCCTCCTGCTCCGCCCAGAAGGAGAAGTTGAGCGAGTCCACCACGAACACCCAGTCGAGCGCAGCCTCGTCCGCCCCGCGCGGGTTGAGCTCGTGCAGGGCCTTCCACTGCTCCACGCGCCACGCCGAGGCCGCGGGCAGCAGCAGCTCGGCCGCCCGGCGCACGCCCTCGCGGTCCACGAGCACGTCGCGACTGTTCTCTGCCACGAACCTCGCGGACTCGCGCGGCAGCAGTGGCCTGGCCATGCTGCCCTCTCCCTGGCATCCCCCGCCACCCGGAACTTTGAGCCTTAGCCGCGGCCACGCCCACCCGGGGCCACGCACTCGGGCCTACTTCCGGGTCTGAAGTCCGGAAGTTGCCGCGCGAGGGTTCCGCCTGGCCTCAGTGGCTCGTGGTCGGCTAGACGCTGGGCCGTCTTGTTCCTCCACCCATGCCCGGGGCACTCGTGTCTTTGAGGAAGGCTTGGGATCGCGCGGGAGGTGGGGACTCAAGTTGACTCTAAACTGTGTGAGTAGTCATCTCGTGGGTTACCCGGAACAAAGCAGCCATTATATACAATAAATGAAACATCATCCCAAAACTTACCTATGTCTTAACATACTAATAGATACATTGGTCAGTGTAAAAGTGATTCGAAGTTGCCTGGAGGTGCAGAATTAGGTGGGACTTTTTCGTTGTCGTTTTGAGGGGAGGCCTGGGTGGTCTTACCTGAAATGTACTATGTAGACCCGTAGTGCTCACACTGCCTGCCTGCCTTCTGAGTGCTGGGATTAAAGGCATGGCTTTGTTTCGTTCTTTCAAATATTAATTTTGCATCCTGCAATTTTGCTTCGTTTATTATGGAGTTTTCTAGCAGATTCTATAAAGATCTTCTTAGAAAATATAGTTTTGTGTGTGAATGTTTGTCCTGCATGCATTTATGTGTACCATGTATGTGCCTGATACCTGCAGAGGCCAGAAGAGGGCGTTGGAGATGTTGGACCTGGAGTTACAAGAGATTTTAAATTGTGAGTGCTAGGGTTCAGACCTATGCAAGTAGGAATTGATTCTTTTCCTATTTTTTTTTTTAAATCATGTTCTTTGGTCTAATTTCCATAACTAAGACTTCAAGCACTATTTTGAATAAGTGGGAAGAATGGGCAACCTTGTCTTATTTCTGATTTTAAAGAAATGCTGTCTTCATTTAATGTTGGCTATGAGTTGTATGTAGCCTGTATTATTTTGAGGTATGATCCAATTCATCTATTCCTGACATCTCCAGTACTTTTATCACAAAGGCTTGTTGAACTTTGTCAAAAAGCCTTTTCAGAATGGGGATTACATTTCTGTCTTTATTCATATAATGTATTACACTTATTGACTTACCTATAAGTTAAGCCAAATTTGCTCTTCATAATCAAACCCATTTGGTCATAAGATAGAATTTTAATGTGTTTCTAAATTCAGTTTTCAAGTGTTTTGTTTGTGCTTACATTCATTAGAGAAATTAGTCTGAAATTAGTAGAGAAATGACTTCAAATAGTTCCCTGTCCTAATGTTGGGGTCCCCAAGCACCTACCTTCACTCTCACAGAGGAATGGGGATTGAGCATTAGTTACTTAACTTATTGCCATCACAAAAACACCTGACAAGAAAACTTGAGTGTTTATTTTGGCCCATTTTGAAGACAGTCTATCGTGGTGACAGGAGCTTGAGCTAGCCACTGATGCTTGAGCTAGCAGTCAGGAAGCCCAGAGAGGATTATACTTAGCCTACTTTCTTTCCATTCAGCCTCAAGCCCTAGTTTCTCTATATATAAAGGTGGTGCCTATGTTTTAGGAGTCTTCCCATCTCAACTAACCCAATGTAGATTCTCTCTCAAAGTTATCTATCCTCACACCTTGGAATATGCTCGTAAAGACTGGTTTAGTTGTTGAGGTATGGCTTACTTTGTTTTGACAGGGTCTCATGCAGCTATGGCTAGTCTTGAATTCCTGTTCTTGAGCTATGAATTTGCATTAAAGCCTTTTAAAATGTACATTAAAATTTCATTTTTGTTATACCAATTAAAATATTTTTTATGTGTAGGACATGGGTGGGCATATGTGAAGTCTGGGGATTGAACTCTGATGGATAGGCTTCTGACAAGTGACAGCTGGCCACTGATTTAATTAACCAGTACCCTCGTATTTGTTGGTTCTAGTGCAAGTTGAGAAACATTTTAATATTGCTTTCCAAGAATCTGAAAGTATCACAAAGCTGTGCAAGGCTTGGTATTGTGGTACAAAATTGTATTCTCTGCATTCAGGAGGCTCAGGAAGGATCATAGGTTGAATGCTAGTCAGCCTGTGGTTACACAGCTAACCTGTCTTTAAAAAAAAGAAAAAAGGACAATTAAAAGTTGATTGAGGGCCATGGGGTGGCTTGTGGGTTAAAGGTTCAATCCTGACCATCAGTTTCATCTGTGGATGAATTAGTGAAAAGAATGTCTTCCGGGTTGTTCTCTAACCTCCACATGCACATAAACCCCATACACAAATAAACGGATATAGTAAAACTTAGAATTTCACTGAGCTTTTGGAAACATTTATTTCCACCAGCATTTTAGTAGACACACTCAGACTTTCAAAAGCGCCTAACATTTTTGAGGGGCTAGTAAAATAGTTCAGTTGGTGGAGTACAAGTGAGTCAGGGTTCCCAGTACCCACTAAAGCCAGATGCAGAGTGCACCTGAAATCTGTGCTAAGGAGGTAAAAAGCAAACTTGCCATTTGCTGGCCAGCTAGCCCAGACAATTGGGAGAATTCAGTGAGCAACCAGTTTCAAATTAGGTAGAGAAGCAAATCCAGATCTCTGGCCACCGTACGCTATGTATAACCAATCCCTCATGAACAAACACCACATGCTACAAAATTCTTGATTCTTTCCATCTTCAGTAAATTTTATGTACCAATTGCTTGGAAAATTGCTTCGCAGTTTTTAAATGATTATCTTCATCACATTCCCATCCCTTCAGGCCTTGCTAAGTGTGTGTTGGCTAACCTAAACTTTCAGTGACCCATCTGCCTCTGCCATCCTGAACAATCCTGCCAATTTGGCTTAGTACTCCGGACTGGGCCCAAACACTCCACCAATTCAGCCACTCCTTTAACTCTGTGGACTTCCTAGATTTAGTATAGTTAAGAACCCCCTTCATCCTTTCGAAAATATTCAAGTGAATTTTACCCTCCAGAACATTCAGGTGTTACTGTATGTTGATAAATTAAGATAAAAGCAACCTTGAAAGCAAGCACCTTACTGTGTTCTTTCAGTGACTTCACAAAAGTATAAAAATGCAGTCTTGAAGGATGCTTTTGTCCAGGTCTATTTCTGACTGATTTTCCTTTTTGGAGGTTTTGTGTCACCCTAATTCACTTAAAATGCCACAGCCTGGCCTTGCTTAGGATGCAATGAAGTCAAGCCTTACCCTGGAAAAATTTTAGGTTGCGGTTTTGAGGATCAATTCCATTTAATGATTCCCTAAGAAAACTATGTATGCTCTTCCACAAACTTAAAGCATGTCACCATTCCCTCTAAAAAGCCTTTGGCATGACTCATGAATGTGTTAAGACAAAACCTGCCTATTTTACATTCTTACACCAAACTTAAAGCATATTCATAACTCCCACTTAAGAGTTGAAGGCAAGTAATTCTGAGAATATATATATGAACCAGTTAATCGCTCACTGCATTTATTCTATACTGTCTCCAATATAGAAATTAAATTACATATTTGAAGCTTGGTTCACTCAAAATGACTCAGTCCTGAGAACCTTATCAGAAGGTTCTATGAAGTACTACCTGAACTTTCTACGTACTACCCTTAACCAGACTTTGTCTCAAAGTGCTAGAAAAACATTTCACACAAAAAAAAACATGTAATTTAAGATTACTGTATTTCCTTACAAGAGGAACACTTCAACAAATTGTACATGTATCAATCACCCCTTTTCAAATTGGGCACACATGAAAACTAACATCATGGAAGTTTTATTTAGATGTGGATTTGAACTATCAATACAGATGCCAAGTTGCTACACAGAACATCCACAGGAACTTTTTCCATTTTTTTTGAATCGTTCACAAACATTTCCTACATAATTCAACACACAACAGAGAAATGGTACATCTTTTTTTCTTTCATTGTGCATACAATGGAAAAACAAGTATATATATTTTTACAAAGTTCAACTAACAAGACGCTAGCAGGTTGACAGCTTTAAGTCTATAGGTGAGAAATTATCTAACAAAAATAACCAGGATTTACTCAGCATCAGCCACTTCCATAACCAAGAGTTATTCTGGTTAATAAAGCTCATTGCCCATCAGGCTTCTGGCATATACTTAAGATGCTTAACTCTTGTAGTACTGCTCCCCACCGTAGTTCTCCACACTAACAGAAACTGTTGAAAACTAGTGGCAAACATTTGCAAAAACAAACAAAATCCCAAGCTTATTATAAGCATGAATATGTGATGGAAATTTATCAAGCCAAGTCTTTCCAACCATTAAGAAATCAGCCAAACGAATTTGCCAATGTATTTTGTCTATATCCAAGAGGTGCACTTATATCCCAACAGAGGAGCTGCTGAAAATTAAACTTAGTGTTTAGTTTAGGGGTGGGCTGGAAAATTCAACCACCATTTGAAAATTCTTAAAAAAAAAAAAAAAAAAAAAAAAAGACCACCAAAAATAGATTCACTAAATTTATTTTAAAAATCATAAAACGTTTCTTACAAAAGAGCATACATTCTGCACACTGCTCTGAACAAATGCCAGGGACATGTGGACTATTACTTTCCTCCCTGTCCCACCCGCCCCCCAATGTTACAGTGACCACAAAGCAAGGTGTTCACAATAATTACACGGGGGGAATTTTTTTTAAAACCACCAACAATGAACAAAAAATAAAATTCACTCACTCTGCTGCTGTTTCAAAATTTCAATGTTAGTTTTTGCATGCCCTCCCCCCAACCCTGTTTGTAAGGAACTAAAACATTACATCTGGTGAACAGCAAAGATTTCACTACACCTCAAATGCAGAACACCTATGAAGCAGAGGAATGTTGGCTTTTTAAACAGAAGCAGATAAAAAAAAAAGATGCAGGACTCCTTCAGTTCTTCACTAGTCTTAGAAAAACTTTCCAGAATACTGCTTCACACTATAAAAAAGAAAAAATATCTTGCATTAGAATCCTTCAACATCTGCATACTGCTTCACACTATAAAAGAAAAGAAAAAAAAAAGTACGAATTAGAATTTTTGTTCGAAACAT